GATTTCATCTTCTTTTCTATTTCCTAATACACCAGCCACTACTCAATACCTCCTCCCCTTCATGTTTTCTCTTCATACCACGGCTGCTTGTGAGAGATCGCCTCTGAGCGATAAGGCCACCATTTGCACTAACGTAGTTTAAGACAACTATTGTATTTTCAATTCTGGTGTACCATAAAGGGATATATTATTATATTATTATTATCTAGATCAAAACGAAGCAAAGCTGATGTTTTAAAACATTTTTCTGTTCTTGAAACGGATACAATGAACACGAGACTCAGTACAACAATTTGTGGATCACACAAAGTATGTAGGTATCGAACCGGCGAGGTGATCGCTTAAACCACTACGCCATCTGTGCAGTAGTATAATTAAAGAATATAGGCACATATACAGAATACCTAATTTAATTTTGGCGTGGCAGTCGCCTGCTGAACTGCTGCGCTAGAGAACTTAATACAGAACATAACGACGTACAGAAGTTGGTAATTTGCCTGACATTGGTACGAAGACGAGATTGGTCTCACACTTTGTGTGATCCTTGACATTCCAACCATGAATCCGGTTTTCTCTTTAAACAATATGGGTCCAAGTTCTTTCTAAGTTTATTTCTTTTTAAATTAAATATCATAATTTCTTAGAGGTCTTTAAAGTAAAATATCCTAAATTTTATTTTAATTTGTAGAACGTATTTCCTTATATCAGATATTGATACATCTATTTTTTGTAAAAATTGCACAACTTCCTAGAATGCCACAATTTGCGACTAACTAGAAAATCATGTTTTATGAAGTACTATTATTTTCAACATTATGTATTTAACTGAATTTAAAAAAATGGCCCATAGCTTCGCTGGTGTAAAAAAAATCTATCCCTTTCAAACTTTTTTCTGTATGAAAGATACAGATGTTCTTTGCTGTATCAAAATTTCATGATGACCGGATGAACAGCAACTCAACGAATAAAAGCCAAAGAAATAGTAATAGTAATATTTTCACACATCTCACACACGGCCGTCTGATCCCAAACTAGGCAAAGCCTGTACTATGGTAACCAGACTGCTAATAAACATACTTATATATTTCTAAATACATACATATTATAGATAAATTACACCCAGACACAGAACAAATGACCGTGCTCATCACACAATTATTTGTCCTGCGTGGGAATCGAACCCACGACATCTGGAATAGCAGTCAGCCTCACTAACCACTAGATTAACAGGCCAGTCAAAATAAACGTTGATATTTTTATATACTTACTGAGTCTCTTGATGTAATAAAAGCATGCGCATATAAGAATACAATATTTTGTAAAAGAAAATCCTTTAATAACCTTCAAGAGATTTATAATTATAAACTACACACACACACATATACACACTATTTCCACATTTTATTTCACACTCGTGGGCTTTTATTATAAACAGTCGAACGTTAAATTTATATACATGAATTTATATAAAAATGTTAAGTTGGTTTGTTTACGCTTCGAAAACTCAAAAAGTTCTTCACCAATTGAGTTCTTTTCACACGATATACAAACCGCTAATTGTTTTTATCTATATTTCGTTTTGTTTTATGTTTTGTCTTCATTTCTCATCAATGCAACAACAATGTGTCACAGCGAAGTGTGGTAGGGTACAGCTGGTATACATATATAACTATAGCATATATAGAAAGTCCAAGAAACTCATCTCAAAGAAAAATCCAAGTATTTCAGCGCCATATTGCCCTCGACGCCGTTAGGTCACGATAGATGGTACAGTTGTCATAATTTGACCAATCACGACACTTTACAAAGAGATGTCTTTTGTAGATCCACTAAACAACCCACGAAGAAGATTTCACAGTTATAAATGTCTTAGGATTGTTTCAAACTTTGAATTTTTCATCCCGAATACCTCTAGAGGTCGGAATTTAATATCAAAGCTTCATGCCTGAATATTTTTGTTATGTTATTTTGTTTTTCTAAGGACTTTTAGTAGTAATAATATCATAATAATGTAAAAACTCCAAGCCCTACCTTATTGTATGCATATAATAAACTAATACTAATAATGAGAATTTTTCATTAAAAAAAACCATCATTCGGGAATCAAATACATATAACCATGGGAGATTTACCCAATCGAAATGTACCGTGGAAAAGACATACTTTATCACATATAGGTGAGCCTCGACCGGCGCAATACCACGGCCCCACAGAAAACGTCAATTCGATGGTCACGGTAACCGCATTCATCGCCGACATTGGCCCGAACAGAAATCTTCACCAATCGCAACGCCTAGCGCCCTCGTTGTTGAGAGCGAATTGATGTGAAATAAACTGGCACTAGGCCCTCTCGTGTTAAGGAATTCTTTGGCTGATTTTCACCTAGGGAGTGAGGTTACTGAAGACGGGTATAACGCTAACATTAAAAAAAAAGTGTCAGCCGGGAGTGCCGACAGAAGGGAAAAATTGAAACTTTAAAAATTGATGATTATTTCGATTCGAAAAGTTCCGATATGAATCTATGTTGTACGAATGTATATACACAGTTTATGTTTATATTATAGATCATCATCAACAAGCAACCTTTAATAGTCCACTGCTGGACATAAGCCTCTCCTTAGAAAGGAGGTTTTGGCCTACTATACCACGCTGGCCAGACGGGTTGGTATAGGGTTTGTGTCAAGTTTTCCTTCTCTCTTCAGTGTTGTTGTTCTGCGTAGTTTTTTTCCCTTAGTTGACTCTTACAACACCCATGGGATGAATAGGGGTGGTGACAATCTGTATTCTTAATCCGTCACCACACGGACATCACACAATTATTTGTCCTGGGTCGGAATGGAACCCGCGAACTTCAAGTAGCAAACAGAATTAGGCCACCATCTTCAGTTTACTTAAATAAAAGGTACCCTAAATCCTTTTCTGTATCCCTGAAGACATGTATGAAAAATGTAATGATTAACAGACAAAGGAAAAACCCTCTTTTTTATAGCTTTAGTTAAAATTTTCGCATTGTTATTCAATTTTGACGAGACAGATTTTTATACATTGCGCTATTAACCAAGTGCCCAACAAAACCTGACTTTCAAAAGAAACCCTCAGTTTACGACTGGATTATATCATGCACGGTAGTAGATCACTGTTATCTCCCTATTCCCTCCCTATCAAAGGGACTCGTACCCTCCGCCCTCACAGCGTTTATGGCAATATTTGTAGATTGATTGCGAGAAAACGATTCTATAATAAGGTTCATACCAAGAAGAACGCAATTTATATTATTTTATTTCTTATGGATGCTGTTAATTTAATATATCGTTTCTTTTTTAACCAACTACACCAAAATTAATGTATTTCTGTATTCATCGGTAACGGTTTTTTTCTGGTACCACAAATCGAATCTATAAATATGTCTTAAATGCATGTAGGTATTTAAGTATCATCTATGGGGTAATTTGCGGCCAAAATTAAATATAAATAGTCAGGATAGGTGAATAATGAGTTTTTATAAAGTGATATCTTCATTTTCACACGCCATTCTTAAAATGATTGTCGTATTTTTTTTTGTCGTTTATGCTCCTTAAAACATCCGCCTAGCTTCATAACAATGTTACCCTGATTTGTGTACCACACAATCAGAGCGATACAAACTGTAGATCCGAGTTATGATTGACAATTACGCCATCTCGTATCGGGTAAACTAATTAACGGATGCGATGCGATATCATTTGATTACTACGCGACAGATGGCGTTGATTCGATTTCTACAAGTTGCTTTGCGAAGTTTGCGTTTCGAAAATTGACGCTTCTCGCTCTTAGTAAAGATTAATTGGATTTTGAACGTATCTGATTTATTGTGTAATAATAGAGGATGAATGCTGTTTCATTGCCACTTAGCGAGATGTGGATTGGTTTGATTTTATTTAGTTAACCGCTCGTATGCCCCTGTCATGGCGCCCGCGGCGTCCAGAGTGCCCGCGACTCGCGAGCGAGACCGTCTAGATTGCCCCGGCACAAATACCGACCACCCGTAAAGTGCCCCACTGTTTTTTGCGTTATCGACGCGCGCGCCGTGTTCCACTTAATCGGTTCTTGTGACTAAAGTTTGTATTGAAAGGGTGTCAAGTGTTATATTTATTTAGTTGCCTATGAAATTAGCTAAACAATGTTATCTTTCTATTTACAGATTACGGCTCTGGTGTTGAGTTACACTGTGTTGAAATTGAGATAACGTCTTTTTAAGCTCGTGTTGCACTTCGAAGCTCATAGTTCAAAAATGAAAGCGATGACCTATGGTTTTTAATGTTTAATTATGTTGTTTAGATAGTAGTTAATATGTTATGAAATAAAACCATATACTCTCCCATACATATTTATTTATTTACAGGCCTCTAAATCCTTACCATTATCGGCCGCCACGCGGCATAATTTATGTAAGATGAAATGACAGAAGTTTTATGACGTATAATTCTTTTTTTTACTAGTGTTTGCATGCTCGACTGAGATTAATACCATAGATAATATATCAGACTATAGAAAAAATATTACTAAAGAGCATTATGTCAATACAATTACTGTCAAATACTAATTAATCTGTGGCAGGAGCCATGTAGACTACCGGTCTACACGGGCACTTTACGGTTTTATTTTTGTAGACTACTAGTCTACACGGGCACTTTCCGTTTTTATTTTTGTAGACTGCTAGTCTACACGGGCACTTTAGGATTTCGTTTTTGTAGACCACTAGTCTACATGGGCATACTAGCGGTTAAATTAAATTCATAACGATTTACGTTTGGAGAGAACACTAAGGCTGTTTTTTTTTATGATAACCACTTTGGATCAACAATAACATCACGTTTGATAAGAACATAGAACGTATAGGCTCTTGGTACTGAAGTCTTTTCTTTTTTTATGTTTTTAACTTCCAGTCCATGCCGCAATCACTATCCCCAAAGTTCCATTTTAATGCCCCCACTATTAAATGCCTTTCATTCTTTACCTAGGTGTTGGCTACGCCATCTGCATGATCGATATCTACATGGGCATGTACTACAACACAATCATTGGCTGGGCGGTGTACTACCTGGTGGCTTCTATCTCTTCAATCAACTCCGTGCTCCCCTGGACCAGCTGCAACAACGAGTGGAACACTCCTCTTTGTATGCCGGTCACTATGCTGCACAATAACCCGAATGCTTCTACACCAGCGAAGGAGTTCTTTGAGTAAGAGAATCATAAACATAGAGTCGGTACTCGGTTCTTCAGGTTTTAGGGTAAGGAAAGTGGTGATGAAATAGTCTTTAATAATTAAAGACATAGGACTGTAAATTAGACTAGTTCCTGCGTTGGTCCAATGGTCAGTGACTCTGACTGCTAAGCCAGCGGTCGTGAGTTCGATTGCCGATACTAATGCCACCAATTATAATAATTTCACAGTTTTATCCAGAACTGGCATTGTTGAGTACCAAACATTTATCATAATTTTTGCATTTATATTAGTATTAATATTCCTACATCAACTTGTGTATTTTTTTCAGTTCAGTTTCTATTGAATTTTTACATAGTCGATATTATTAAATTAATAATTTGTATTTTCAAATGTTTGTGTAGGCGCAACGTTTTAGAGCAACACAGATCCAATGGTTTGGATGACATGGGCCCTATTAAGCCGTCGCTCGCACTCTGCGTGTTTGGGGTGTTTGTACTCGTCTACTTCTCCCTCTGGAAGGGAGTCAGGAGTGCTGGCAAGGTAAGAACACCAAAAGTTAGTTCACGCTTGTTGTTTCAACTTTCCTTGTTTCATGCTCATTATTCTGAGTTTGCCTTTTGCCACATTTTGTAAATATTTGTGGTCTCTGGAGATTATTTCCAAAAAGGTTGATATCTTTGTATGGTTTCTATAAATTGGACTTTTAAGAGTTAAGTAAACATAATACATATGGTCTATAATTTTTTAAAATTTGCTGTTTATTTTTTCTACAACAAGACATTAACATATTGAATGAAATTATTTAACTGCACGGATGACGTGGTGGCTTGAGCGGTCGCCACGGCGCTTCCTACTACGCTGACTGATGTCGATTAGTTAACTGGTTAATGCGTGAAGAACAACAAAACTGACATTCTGATTTGTTGTATTAGTAAGGACTTTTACAGTTTGTAGAGACTCGAAATGTGGACACCCTACTTAACTGTGGCATTGAATTAAGTTATAAAAATCAATGTATTTTACAACACTCCATTGACTTCATCCTTGCTTTTCTATGCTCAAGTTCACAAATAACACCGAAGTACTTGTGTTGTGTTCATTCAATGAAGATAAAATGAATGAAAAAAATGTTACTGAAAAGATGAAGAAAAAAAAAAACTGTGTGTATGTTATATGTGTGTGTGTTATTATTAATATTATTATTATAATTTATATTTATGTTTTGCTAATCTCTCCAGAGATCAGATAACAAAAAACCGTCTCGCATTAAATAGGAAAATTCTTGAAGAAGGGAATCCACTGTATAAAACCCTGTCTTTTTGTAACAGTAACCATAAAAGCAGGGAAAACAAAAAAGGTTTTCCTTTCTTGGATACACCTGATTCCAAGGCTACTGGTACCTGGTGGTGTACGAAGGAATAAAAATATTATATACCTTTTGAGAAATCAATAAATTCAATGTTTATGGGTATTGTATTCCTATGTTCTACAAAGGTGGTGTGGGTGACAGCTTTGGCTCCGTACCTGGTGCTACTCATCTTACTGGCGCGGGGTGTGACCCTGCCGGGCGCCACTGAGGGTATTCGGTACTACCTCACTCCTGAATGGCACAAACTGCAGAATTCGAAGGTTAGAAATATTTTAAAGAGAAATATTATGACAATGATTCTGACTGATAAACCAGAGGGACCAAGTGCGAATTTATTTCGGTTTAACTCGATCGTCACGGTGATGGCGTTCGGCGTTCTGATTGGCCCGCCCTGAACTCTTCACCAATAACAGCGCCGAAGGCGGTCATCGTGGCCCCTGAGAGGTCGTTGTTTCAATTCCCACCCAGAACAAACAATTGTGTGGCAACTACGATTATTTGTTCTGTGGCTGGGAGTCATTTATCTACAATAGTATGTATTTATAAATTAAGTATGTTTATCAGCAGTCCGGTTACCATAGTGCAGGCTCTGCCTAGTTTGGGAGTGTAAGTGAGTTATGTGAGGATATTATTATTGTATTTATAAATTCGAAGTTCAAATTACAGGTTCTTTTTCAGTTGATACGCTTCATGGGAAATGATGAAATATGTATTCGGGAATTACGAAATCATGTAACGAATATTATATCATCATCAACAGCCTTTACTAGTCTACTGCTAGACATAGGCCTCTCCTTAGAAAGGAGGTTTTGGCCTACTATACCACGCTGACCAGGGTTGGTATAGACTTTGTTTCAAGTTTTCCCTTTCTTTGCAGTGCAGTTGTCCTGCGTAGTTTACTCCCTTAATCGGCTCTTACAACACCCACGGGATGAATAGGGGTGGTGACACTCTGTATTCTTAATCCGTCACCACACGGATAATCTTATATAGTTACTTTCGATTTCTTTGATATTTCGACATCATTGCACTGGCCATGGTCACATGTTGACTATATGTCTAATGACTGAATACATAATTAAATATCATTACAAGAACATCAGCAAAGTCAATGATGTTAGATGTATTTGAATCCATCTTTTTTTTTACTTGTCCAATCCATTATTGTTTATAAATAATAAATGGAATGGGATGTATGGGGGCTCGGTTAAATAAAAAGGACTTTTCTCGTTAGTTTCCACAATTATATTAATATAAAACTTAAAGAAATACATAGTGCAATTCCAAAGCGCAACATAAGCAATAAATTGAGACAGTTGAGACATCGTTGTAAAGGAGTATTAGTTTAAAGGAATAGTATAGCTTGTTAATTTATTCATAACCGCAGTTATATAAACTCTTGGCAGTTATGTTATATAAATGTTTAATAACACTATTTATTTCTATTTAATGATTACATTTATTTATTTTACATGTGTTGCTGAATTTCAAGAAAATCTCTTTAGCCTCTTATAAATTTTCGATTTTTAAATTCCGTTTTATTTTAGACGGATCCTAATTCCATGATTCTAGTTTTTCTATGAGCTGAAACATTGATGCTTAATTACCTATCCCAATCAGGTGTGGATCGACGCAGCGTCCCAGATCTTCTTCTCCCTAGGTCCCGGGTTCGGTACCCTGCTGGCGTTGTCCAGCTACAACAAGTTTAACAACAACTGCTACCGCGATGCTCTCATCACCTCTTCTATCAACTGTCTCACCAGCTTCCTCGCAGGATTCGTTATATTCTCTGTTCTTGGGTAAGTTTTACAGAAACCCTATTACATTAAAAGCTCCTAGTGGATAACAGGTACACCTTGTCATTTACTGTATAGGGGCAAACGAGCATACGGGTTACTTGATTGTAAGTGGACAACTGCAACTCCTGCAAACCTGCAACTCAAAAAGAGTCACAAGTCTCCCCCAGAAATACGAGGAGGGGAAAGAATCGTTTAACACCGGGTTATCACTTTGGTCGAGCCGGCGCATTTGTTCTGAAGCATGGCTCTCTCAAGGCATGATCGGCAAAGCAACTAAGGCGTGAAAGAGCAACAAACAAACTAAGATCAGCATTAATATTGTTATTTAGTATAAATAAGATTCCATTAGCAGCAACTGCTTCCAAACATGTGTTTTCAGCTACATGGCTCATGTGCAACAGAAGAGTATAGAAGAAGTGGGGCTCGAAGGCCCAGGGCTGGTGTTTATTGTGTATCCTGAAGCCATCGCTACCATGACCGGCTCCGTATTCTGGGCTATCATATTCTTTCTCATGCTCATCACTTTGGGGCTGGATAGCACCTTTGGAGGTATGAACAAATGATTTTATAAGATAAGTATTGCCACCAAACCAGGCTTGTATGAAGGCCAGTGTGAATGAATTACCAACTTTTACAAACATACTATATAGGTCTAGAAGCAGTGACCACGGCCCTTTGCGACGAATATCCGCGCGTGTTGGGAAGACATCGAGAGATCTTTGTAGCCGTGCTTCTACTCTTCATCTACATTTGCGCTCTTCCAACTACAACTTATGTAAGTCTTTATATTTTCGTAAATCGTCATCATCTATACTAATATTATAAAGCTGAAGAGTTTGTTTGTTTGTTTGTTTGTTTGTTTGAACGCGCTAATCTCAGGCACTACTGGTACGATTTGAAAAATTATTTCAGTGTTAGATAGCCCATTTATCGAGGAAGGCTATAGGCTATATATCATCACGCTAAGACCAATAGGAGCGGAGCACCAATGAAGAATGTTTCAAAAACGGAGAAAATTTATTACTATTGAGAGACGTAGACGAAGTTGCGCGGGTCAGCTAGTCATCAATAACTTTTAATGATCCACTGGAATACTATCAAACGCTGGCCAGACGAGCTGGTATAGGGTTTGTTTCAAGTTTTCTTTCTCTTTGCGACGCTGTTGTCCTGCGTAGTTTGCAATTTATATTTTCCAAAGCATCCTAGTCTCTGAGCAACTCTAGTCTTTGTCCCAATTCTAATCTGAGCCTTTTGCTATCCTCCCTTTCCCCCCTTGCCCTCTCCTTTGTTCATCAGTTCCGCGTGTAGTCAATGATATTCCAAAGTATGGCTGACGTCAGGCAAGCAACAATCCATAACAGAAACCAGTGAAAACTGTTTTCAATGTGTCACATCAAGCCAACCCTTTTTTTTTTTCCGTGCGGAAATCCCCTCGGATACCACCTGTCGGTGGCATGTCGGACTCGAACCGACTAAAACCGCACGCCGTCTCGGGTACTAATAGCCGGGGAACCAGGTATACCCTAGAAAGGAAGTCCCTGGTGCACATCAAGCCAACCCTAAATAAAACTAGAAAAAGTGCAAGAAGTTAACGATGATTCAATCAATTCTAGATCGAATAAATCTCTATTCACTTTTTTGTCAAATTCAACAATATAAACAAAGTTGTAGCTAGCATTGACAGTAAATTGTAGTTAATGTTTTTTAATCAAAAATTCAATCTTTCTAATAACATTTTTATTTCATAGTTTGTATAAGCCAAATATAAACCTTGAAGTCTAAGAAAGTTTGGCTACAAGATCTGTCACACGTTTCCCAAAAAGGCTAGAAGCTAGAATAGTCTTTATCAGGTCTCGTAATGAACGACCTAATTCCTACAACCGCTCATAAAAAGCTTATTGTAGTGAAATTGATGAGACAGCGACAACATTTAGCGAGATAAGTGAAAGATTATGTTGGCTCGGGTAAGTTTGCGTCATCACAAAATATGATTGCTCCATCGTACGTCTAACTCGTAAGTCATGAAATAAATTGATAACATAACCCCTACTTTGTGTTACATACTAATAGTTTCAAAAATAATAATGGGCTTGCTGATTTGGTGAATAAATTAAAATTCAAACAGTCCCTTGATTTACCAAAATGTAAAGTGATTAAGTAAGTAAAACAATACAACAACAAAACACAGATCTGAACGATTTATAAGCCCTTTTAATAAAAACAAAATGCATTGAAATTGTTTTACATTTGTTTATTTTTTTAACTACATAGTTCTTCCAAGACTTTTAAGCCCCCGGGGTAGGGCTTAGCAAGGCGTGGCGTCAATCTGGACGGGATCTGAAATCGCGGAGGCGGTTTTTAGCGGTAACCACATACTTTTGGCTCCTGCGCTCCCAAAGACCTGGGATGGGATTTTCCATACCTTCACAAAAAGAGGCTTTTAATTAAGAATGCTTTGTTTTCTAGGTTTCTACAAAAGCAACGTACCATGAAAATTGTTTTTCCGGCCAGTCTTTTTAAACTTTTTGCTTTCGGTTTAAATATTGTCTTTAATATTAAATGTACATTACTGTTTTATGGAGAAAAATGAAAATTATCTTAGTACACAAACCGCAATCCACAAACGTAAGTAACAGCGGCTACAAACACGCATAAATTGACGCGATCGCTCAAGTCGTCCTACATTTTGGCTTGTGTAGAATCAAAGCTCACCTTACCACTAACGCTGAGGTATTCAATAAATTACAGTAACACGTTATCTCGTAGTGGGGCTCGTCTTCTCAATATATTCCGCTCCATTATTCAATAGCATCACTCAGAGGGATGACCTGGCAGCTCGTGCTCCTACTCGTCGAGATACGCTTTGTTTTGTGTCAGTCTGCTCTTTGATTAAAGATGTTAACACCGTATATGTTTATAGTTGTATAATAATATTTAGAATTTGGAAGAAAAATTGAAACGATGATAGTGTGTTTTAAAAGCGAAATGTCTCAATTCACTAAAACTGTACGAAACAAAATACGAAAAAAATATTTGTGGAAAATTAAACAATTTTTTTTTTGGAAATGAAACTTGAATTTTTTAATATACATGTATTTATGTACACTTTAAATTGGTTACTGATTTTCTGTATAATATATATGTATGAATCCAATAAAAATATAAATCAATAATCACGTTTGCTCACAGTTTCTAATAATGGATACAGATAAAAGGTGACGCTTGAATCTATCGAGTTGTAGGCTATTAGATAAAAAATAGTATTTCTCTGTTTCAAACTTTTTGTAGCGCTCCGTAGATAGTGTCAGATGACTGTTTATCGTTACCAGCATTTATGCGCCTGGTGCAAGCTGCTGTACTTGCTGTATCTTCGAAAATAGTAAGATGCCTCTACATCCGTTCTACCGTGGTTTCAAACCAGGGCACTCTAAAAAAATCTACGCCCTGTGCCTGGACATCGCTGACACACTTCTAGTTACAGTTCAGTATTTCTTCTAGCCGTATTTGGAGATGCCAGCAGAACAGAGATATTGACCAAGTTATACCTCAATAAAACGCCACATATAAAAAAACTTTTACAATAAAACTCCGTCCAACGACAAAATAAATCAATTTAACCAATATTGAGGTAATGGGCGCACAGGGGACGGTACACCTGGTAATAATATGAAAACATAGAAATAGTTCCTTACACGTGTGCGTTACCCCAGCAAAATAATGTCGAAAATGGTCATTTAAACGTTATAGATAATTAGTTGCTCCCCTTCTGTAATTGTTAAGCACATTTTTTAATTTGTTTCACTTAAACTTTTTTAGTTATTTCAAAAAAACATTTCCTGCTGGAGTAACGTTTGAAACGTTACCGCAGCCAGACATTTTCTTTTTTAATTGTAATATTGAAATAAATTTTAGCTAAATAATTAGTTATCTGGACTAGGTAAATGTTACAACTTATTTGGTATTTGTATTTTCTTCGGTTGCGAAGTTATTCGAAATCCTGCTGGAGTAACGTTTGTGGGTTTGCTGGATCTCTGAAACGGGTAAGCGGATTGTAACCATCTTTTGTACATAACTTCTTAAGGATTAGTTTTAATTTGTTCGACAATAAAATAACAAAAATAATGGACCGTTTAAAAATTATTTAGGTAAGTATGAAAACACTTCAATACGTCCTAACACTTTAAATAAGACCTCTAAAGACTTACTTGAAACGTTATTCTATTGCTTGTAACTACCTTCAAATGTATACGAATTTTCGTAAGAATACTGTAAGTGACTAAAAAGTTATGATGAAATGTAGCTCTCCACGTTCACGATCACAATGTGTGCGGCCGTTTTTGGCCACCGATAAACCTGTGTGTGGATATATAAACTGAATGTTATGCCAATAATTAGTTGTTTAGTTCAGTTGTCTACCTGTAAAATTTCAGCGTAGTACATATAATAATTTACGAGATAATTAAATAAAAGTCATTAGAAGGTGCAAGACCGTGGTAACCCGACCATGTTTAGGTGGTTACAAAAAAGCGATCACCCAGTACATTGTGCTGGCTTTTAAAATATGTAGGATATTATTTGCAAGTTTACTACGGATATGTACATAAGTGTTACAAAAAACTACATGTTTTTTAAATATTTTTTATTTAGGATTGTTTATTGCATAATTAGTAATCAGCCGGGAGATTAGGTATTGTTTTGAATGCTTTTGTTTTCTCGTAATGTTTAGGTGAATTGTTTATAGTTGTTCATAGAATTGGTACCTGCGTAGTATTTGTTAATTGAAGTTTAATTTTAGGGTAGGTATAGGTAATTTAAGAAATATGAAATGAAATGATAAGTTTTGAAGAGTGTAACGTATGCGTTGTGAATAGGTATTTTGTGAATAGATGGGGATTTTTTTAAGTGATGAATCGACTTAGGCTAGCATATCGCGAACAAACTCTGTATTGCATTATTTCTGTAATAATGTTGGAGAAAATAAAATATTTGATCACAAAATCGCGGTGAGTTAAATTATAATAAAATAAATTATTTATGTAAAATTAGTAATAAGTGATATACCTACCTAAAAGTTATGATCGTTTTTAATTTGTTCACCCTGAACGAAATTTCAATATTAGCATTAGTAATTAATATCCTAAGACAAGAATTGACAATTACTTAAATTGAATCGAATTAGCATTAATGCCTATTATTAGTAATTAGGTACACACATATTGAAGAACTCTCAAGAATACGATAAATATTTGCAAAAATAGAAAGCGGAAGCGCACACGTACTTTACAACACGTATATTATCTGCCTAAGGGTCAAGTTTAGTGCACCAGATGCAAATTGCAAACAATGAAGTATCCCTTCGCCCCTCCCCTCCCGCGTTCTAGCGAAGGAAGTATTATCAGCGATTCTTGATTGACAAATATTATCTGACCAATAATTTTATCTATAAAAAAAACAAAAAATTTTTAAAAAAAGGGGGAAAAAAAAATTTAAAAAAAAAAAAAAAAAGGGAAAAAAGAAAAAAACCAAAAAAAAAAAAAAAAAGGGGGAAAAGAACATTTGGGAAACCAAAAAAAACCGTAAAAAAAAAAAAAAAAAAAAAAAAAATTTAAAAAAAAAGGGGGTAAAAAAAAAAAAAAAAAAAAAAAAAAAAAAAAAAAAAAAAAAAATAAAAAAAAAAAAAAAAAAGACCCAAAACCCAAAACAAAAAAAAAAAAAAGCAAAAAAAAAAAAAAAGAAAAAAATTAAAAGCAAAAAAAAAAAAAAAAACAATAAGAACCCAAAAAAAACAAAAATTTTTAAAAAAAAAAAAAAAAAGGCAAAAAAAAAACAAAAACCAAAAATAAAAAAAAAAAACAAACAAAAAAAAAAACCCCCCTTTCCCCCCCCCCCGGGAAAAAAAACACAGAAAAAAAAAAAACCCCAAAATGTATCACTTTCACTCGATAAATTAAATTACCGTTATTATATCAAAATATCATTCAACAACTGTTCGTTTTTAACAGAAATCAACAGTAACGGGCTCAACGCTTAACGGTAGGTACATAGGTATAGATAATTCTCGGTTCTAGGTATAGACCACAGAACAATATTACCTACTCTTACGAGGTATACGACTGTTGGGCGATGCAATGTTGATGCATTCTAATTTACAACTGTATTCTTTTACTATTCGGTCTATTTTAACTTATTGTAGATGACTTGTTGCTTTAAATATTTTGATGCATTCAAGTCTAAGCTCTATACACCCCAAAATAAAATACAATTACTTTAGTGTTATTTCTTTACAAAAAAAAATCAAAGAAATTAAACGATTTCTTATTGGTTTAAATTTTCGTTTTATTGCAGTCAGGTGAATCGTTCATACATGTATCTACATATTTATAATTTTAGCGGACCAGTGCAGATTTTCTGTTGATTGTAGCTCCGGTAGTAAAAAAGACTAAATAAATTTTAAGTAAAGAAACTAGTGCTTAAGATCAATTAGGGAAAAAAACAAAATAAATAATAGGTAATAATAATGAATAAATATTGAATGTATTTAACACTGTACGCAACTGTACCGAAATCGTAAGGTGTATTACACTAAACATTTTAAAAGACAGCGCAATGTACTGGGTGATTGCTTTTTTGTAACCACCTAAACATGGTCGGATTACCACGGACTTGCACCTTCTAATGACTTTTATTTAATTATCTCGTAAATTATTATATGTACGACGCTGAAATTCTACAGGTAGACAACTGAACTAAACAACTAATTATTGGCATAACATTCAGTTTATATATCCACACACAGGTTTATCGGTGGCCAAAAAAGGCCGCACACATTGTGATCGTGAACGTGGAGAGCTACATTTCATCATAACTTTTTAGTCACTTACAGTATTCCTACGAAAATTCGTATACATTTGAAGGTAGTTACAAGCAATAGAATAACGTTTCAAGTAAGTCTTTAGAGGTCTTATTTAAAGTGTTAGGACGTATTGAAGTGTTTTCATACTTACCTAAATAATTTTTAAACGGTCCATTATTTTTGTTATTTTATTGTCGAACTAATTAAAACTAATCCTTAAGAAGTTATGTACAAAAGATGGTTACAATCCGCTTACCCGTTTCAGAGATCCAGCAAACCCACAAACGTTACTCCAGCAGGATTTCGAATAACTTCGCAGCCGAAGAAAATACAAATACTAAATAAGTTGTAACATTTACCTAGTCCAGATAACTAATTATTTAGCTAAAATTTATTTCAATATTACAATTTAAAAAGAAAATGTCTGGCTGCGGTAACGTTTCAAACGTTACCCCAGCAGGAAATGTTTTTTTGAAATAACTAAAAAAGTTTAAGTGAAACGAATTTAAAAATGTGCCTAACAATTACAGAAGGGGAGCAACTAATTATCTATAACGTTTAAATGACCATTTTCGACATTATTTTGCTGGGGTAACGCACACTCCTTACACTTAAGAGGTAGAATTTTATCGGGCGTTCATGTTGTCTATTTAGGAATCTCCACACTTGGTCACAGGGCGAGGGAAGGCTTTTTGTATGATATAGGGGGCAAACAAGCAGCCTGATCACCTGATGAAAAGTGACTACCGTCGTTAGAGAATACCTGCGACTCAGAAGTCACAAGGAAGGTTTAGGAACGAGTTACTGTCTTATGTTCTGTTTTCGTCACGTATATACTTATTGTTAACAGACCAATAGTTGTGTGACCCCTAGTATGCTTATATAATGTGCATGCTTATACCTACATTCATCACACCAACCTTTAATAGTCCACTACTGGACATAGGCCTCTCCTTACAATGGTGGTTTTGGCCTACTATACCACGCTGGCCAGACGGGTTGGTATAGGGTTTGTTTCAAGTTTTCCTTCTTCATTTCATTTCATTTCATATTCGGCTGTATTAATAACAAATAATTAAGTTATTCATATTCTTCCTCTTAGGGAGGCGTTTACCTGGTGGATCTACTGAACGTTTACGGGCCAGGGCTGGCGATCCTGTTTGTGGTATTCGCTGAAGCAGCTGGAGTGTGCTGGGTTTACGGCGTTGATCGCTTCTCCGAGGACGTGAGGACTATGCTCGGTCATACTCCAGGGTGGTTTTGGAGAGCCTGCTGGTCTTACATCAGGTGCGTGTAAACGAGAAGTATGATGCAAATTAATATTTTTTTAATTGTATATATATTTAAAAATAAATACATCACCATGTTATGAATTGATATTTATTGTTAAAACTACAGATATTTATTACAAACTAGCTGTACCCTGCCACGCTTCGCAGAGGCACAATGTGGATGCATTGATGAGAAATAAGTAACAAAACTTACGCGTAAAGTAGATAAAAAACCATATTTGAGGCGGTTTGTACATTGTGTGTACATTTTAAATTGAAAACGACGATGTAATGTATACCGAACAACAATGTATAGCGAAATGTGTAATCGCAACTGGCACCCACAGGACAGGCTTGCCTAGTATGGGGCCACCGGCACCAGGGACTTCCTTTCTTGGGTATACCTGGTTCCCCGGCTATTAGTACCCAAGACGGCGTGCGGTTTTAGTCGGTTCGAGTCCGACATGCCACCGACAGGTGGTATCCGAGGGGATTTCCGCACGGAAAAAAAAAAATAAAGTGTGGGGCCACCGGCAATGTATCACATATTTTGTACTTTTCTTTTTGGTAATAAATGATATATATATATATATATATGTATAACTTGAGCTCAATCGGTGCAGAACTTTTTAAGTTTTTGAAGCGTACAAAAACCAATTTAACCATTTATTTATGCTACACTAGATACATAAAATATACAGGGATACAAGGTACATTACAAAAACACGACATTAATTTTATAAAACACTAGCTGACCCACAAACGTTGTTTTGACATATCATCATCATCATCAGCCTATCGCAGTCCACTGCTGGACATAGGCCTCTCCCCTTGCACGCTAACTATTATTGGGGTATGAAAAATAGATGTTGGCAGATTCTCCGATCTACCCGATATGCACACAAAATTTCACGAAAATCGGTTGAGCCGTTTCGGAGGAGTTCAACCACGCACACCGTGACACGAGAATTTTATATATTAGATTTAGTCACAATGTGTAGCAAGGTTTACCAGCTCAGGTTGCTCAGGCTCTTGGCGGCTGACATTTCCCCCAACAGTTAGGAATTAAACCCATATAACGCAAGAAAATAACTATTATATAAATAGATTAAATACTTTCTACTTCCACAGCCCGGTGTTCCTGCTAGTTCTCTTCATAGTCTCTGTATTGGCTCACGAGGAGATGCTGGGTGGAGAGTACCAGTACCCTCCGTGGTCCATCACCGTCGGCTGGGTCATGACCGGCACTACCGTCTCCTGCATACCTCTCTACATTATTTACAAGTTTTTGAAGACTCCAGGCAGCTGCATTGTTGTGAGTAGACAATCCGTTTGTACTGTACTCTTCATACTAATTGGTATTCTGGCTGAAGAACTGGTTCTGGTTTTGGTTCTGGTATATCCAGCATTTACTTAGCCCAACTCTTGATAAATATGAACCAAATTGCAGTAACTAGGCTGGTCATTATATTACCCCATAACGAAAATAACCTAAATATCTATCTGTATTATACTTGTTTATTAATATTTTTTCGGACACAATATTTTTTGACATCTGACACACAACGCCATCTAGTTTCAAACTACGCAGAGCTTGTACTATGAAAGTTAGATTGACTGATAGAATAATTATATACCTGCTTTTTTGTAAATACATACATAGAAAACACCCAAACCTTGAAACAAATATTTTCGAAACCGAGGCAGTCTACTCTTATTTTTACTTGAATTTTATAAATGCTTTGCAAAACTCGACCGGAGTGACAACATGGCCCCTCAGAAAACCGGTGTTAATACCTACTTTCCTTGCATTTCTCCGAGAGAGTGGGGTCATTGAAGGTCTGCTCGTTTGGCCCCTATAGCAAAAACAAACACACACATATGTATGTGTGTGTTTGTTTTTGCTATATTGTTTTTGCTATATTATTATTAGTAGCATTGTAATATATTATGTATGTACATAATATATTACAATGCTACTAATAATAATTATCAGCTAACTTCCATAACATGTCTTTTTTTCCTGTGAAACGACGAACTGACCAAAAGCCAAGTGTACCCTGGAAAGGAAATCCCTGGAATTTTGACGTATCGGTAGGATGCCTGTACTTAACCAGTTCATACTTAATTTTGGACTCTTTCAGCGCATCAAAACAATACAACGCCCGGAAGTGACTTCAATACCCCCTCAAGATGCAACTTTGTGCAGCCTGTGACCTGACAACCACCAAACCATTGTACACCTCCATACGAAGCCCGCCATAGAGTGGCTGGTGTAGAACGACATATATATACAACTAATCATATTTATGAAATACCATAAACGGTTTAAATTTTACTCGATCGACTACCTTAAATTATGTAGGTATATATTTATATATATAATACACACCACAAAGCAATTTACCTACAGCTTGTTTAATTTACAAGCTTAAATGTGTATAAAAGCAATTTCAATAATACTTAGTAGTTACAAGTACTCCAAATGTAACCTACTATATTTAAAATGAGTATAGTCTTGTGATAGATATTTAAAAAGTATTTCGTAAATGTTATTATCGATGTGTAGTGGTAAGTAGATTGTAAAGTGCTTCGTTAACTATAATAATGCCTATATTTATCTTTTAAAAGAGAACATAAAGAAATATACAAAAAAAAGTTTATTTAACTAAAAGTAGAAATTAGTAACTTAAGAATAAATAAAACCTAAAATATTTATAATTATACTCAAAGTTAGCTCGTTGTTTAGATATAATAAATTCGTGTTTTAAACTATATTAACAACGAATATATTTTTAAGCATTTAAAGGACCTAGACAAAACGTTATAACTTTAAAATACTTTGTATAACATAAAATTATTGCTGGACAGACTATAAAAGATTTGAGTGAATGTATACTGTTTGTAATATGCATAGTACTTGTATATCTCAAGATTCTACAAGTACACACAAATATTACTTATTGTACAATTGTTTCTTTTTGTATATACATGTAGGCGTATTTTCAAAATAAATTATTTTATATAAAAATCTAAGCAAACCCCATTGTAAATAAGCTTTAGGTAAATGTTTAGTTGTTTGGTAAAATGTGTACACATTTCTGTACTTTTGGGCAATAAGTACAGAAATAATGTATACAAAGAAAATCCAAAGTAATTTAGAATGACAATGTGCATATAGATTTAGGAATGTGACAAGAAAGTTTTCTGGGATCATGTAAAATAGATTTTCCATTCTAGTCAGTGTAGTATGTGAAATAATACATTTAGACTTTACCAAATAATCGTATATTAAATTTATCGAATAAGTGAATAACACATAAATAAAATTAGTTTTATTTAGACATTATGTTGTTAGCAAAGATGGTAATTGATCGTTGATTCTGCAGTTACCAGACGCTAAAGTCACGTTGACTGGTAGTCTTTTAGAATGCCTGTGTATTCATACTTGTAGATTCATTCTATATATTCATGTGTGTTAAGTTTATAATATAATATGTCGTAAAGTAACTTTATATTACAGGCTTGCGTACTTCTCCATGATTATATAAAATACTGTATCTCTAGATAAATATAAAACTAATACGCATTAGATGCGTGTATAAGTGTAACTAGATATGTATGTATATTATACGTTGTCTCATATATGAGAAATCGTATTTAAGTAGTTGTGATGTTTCAAATAGCAGAATAGAAAAATATATTATCCTTCAAATATGAAAAAAAAATACATATTTAGTAATAATCTATAACCATTTAGAATTATTAAACTTATAATATACAAGTTAACCTAGATAATGTGGATGTTAAGTGTTTTTATAATAAAAAATATTAAAATAGTTCATATACCCACAAATATTAACATTTAATTAAGTATATTTGATATATTTGTTGGTTATTTTTATATCTATGTTCTTTGATGTTTACAATTGTATTTCAAGCGTTAATATATAGTTGTAGTGGTAGTACCTATGTGTTGTGATTGTGAGTAGTCATGTAAAATCAATGGTTATTTGTGTTTAGTATAATAAACGACAAATGTATAGATCGAATCTGTACCAGCCATTACAGGTTCATCTAACCATTTGTTTTAACTAACTGTTGTTTTATTTGTTTAATAATGGCATGTTCCTTTAACCAATCAATGATAGGGCCATCTGATTGCAAACTAAGAAGAGCCCGTACCGTGGTAACCACAGGTCCCTCTTTCCCTAGTCTTCCTCTAGTCAAAGTCGTAGGGGCCCCACTATCGTAATACACCCAGGGCCTCCATAGGCTAAACACGGCCTGGGTAACCAGACTGCTAATAAACGTACATATGTACCTTTATATTTCTTAATACAACAAATAATAGTTACCCAAATATTTGTCCCGTCCTGGCTAATTGTACTAACTTTTGGGTCAGCAGCCAGCATCCCAAAGAAGAAGACCAACACTCCTAAAATCATATCTAAAAACGTGAACCAATTGCCCAAAAAAACATATTTATTTGTTTGCCACGTCATCCCAATGCTGACATAGGAACGTTGTTGTCATACACCAAAAGACATTCTGTTATGAGCGAGTGCCACACTGTGTTCCTAGCTATTTTATTAAGAGGTGGACATGATCAAACTTCCGATAGGTCTTTACCGCTATAAATAGCAACAAAATTCATGTGGAGCTCTAATCCACAACTCACCAATCAGTATAAGAGTAAAGGCAGTCTAGAATGTTGTAATTCACTAGCTTGTACATTCAGTACATAGGTACCTACATAGTTCACTGAAAACAACAATAATAGAAAAGATTCGAAAATGACCTTTAACAGTTACCTTCAACTTAGAAATTTATTTTACATATAGATCTTTCAGACTTTTTCAGGTCTAAATGTTCTTTAAAGCTAGATTGTTCCTGCATTTCTGTGGCTAGCATTCAGAAGAAGACTTTGAATTTATGTCTGTATAAAAATAACTTTATCTGTGTCAATTTTTCTACAAACAAAATATTCCTCACTCTTCTAAGTCCGCGAAACTTGATTGAAATGCATAGAAATCTGACTGTACGGTTTAAGCGCTCCCTACTACGCTGAGTGTTGTGGGTTCAATCCCTACATGGGACAACACTTTGTGTGACCCACAAATTGTTGTTCTGAGTCTGGGTGTTCTCTGTGTCCGTTTTATGTATGTTTGTAAAGTCCCCCGCGACGCAGGATATATTACTAACGCCAGAGTTGTCTTTTTAAAAAAGAAAATATAAAATTTCTTCATAAATAGATATATACAAAGAGTAAAAAAAAACACTACCAAACATACTTTTACATTTTACACAAAAAAGGTTACATGTACCATATTTTGAGCTGAAAGCCTCTTTCGCAGCCAACTCGACGATAAACTTGACACTTGGATACAACATGACATCCAGTCAACTTTGACTAATAAATCTATATGGTAAACATAAAATAATTGAATATAAAATCCAACGTGACAACATAACACATGTAACCGTCATGTAAAAATGTTAATAACGCAGGAAAGTCCTAGCATTTACCACCCACTGAATGCATGGCGGCCAAATCTGTAAGCTTCAACACTGTGTGTGTAAGTACATTGAACTTTGGTTGGTGATACCACGGCGTCACAGAAAACTAGTGTTAAGCAGTTCTTTTATTGCTTTTCACCGAGTGAGTGAGGTTTCAGCCCAAAACCCTCCAGGAGGACTCAAATGACTCTTGGAGTAGCAGGTGTCCATGGACGGCGGCAGTTACTTACGATCAAATCCGTTAAATGTGTAGGAGGGCAAACATCGACCCGTCTGATGTTTGCCCTCCTACACATTTAAAAAAAAACTAAAATCTATGTAAATTATCATGTTAATAGTTTTTAAAACCAGTTGGAATTGAAAAATTACATACTTAAGCGTTTTGTACCGCTGTTCTTGTGGAAGTTTACACGGTGCTTACTGAGTATCACTCTACAACTGCGGGGAACTCGAATAATTACACAAAGGCAAATAGGTTTTATCAAGTATAACACGTTATGTCTACAAGATCAGCTACTGCAATCTCAGCATAGTTACCCATTCGATATTTGCGAAATCTCTCTCCCTATCCCCTTTTCCCTGCCTATTTTACTCACTCCAATTTATATTTCTCTTTATAAATGATTACATTCCCAAAGACGTTTTATGTTTGGCAGGCCATAGAAGTAAACCACTTAAAATCCTTTACAATCTTACATTCTGCGGCGACCCCCAAATTGACATAAAAATATGTAACTACGCATTCATCAACAGCCTCTAATTCACTGCTGGACATAGGCTTTTCCTTAGAAATGAGGTTTTAACCTACTATACCACGCTGGCCAGACGAGTTAGTATTTGTTTGAAGTTTTGTTTCACGGGATGAATATATGTAGGTGATGATACTCCGTATTCTTAATCCATCACCATAAGGAGGATCTTTGAGTATTTTTAGGCGTAGATCCTGACAGTGTGCCCATTATACCCACTTACTTTTTTTTATACTTTTTATAACCTCCTCTAATATACACTTAACGCGGAATTAAGAGCATCCATTCATTTAAGAAATTTTCTACAGAACTTATACGACTCGCAATTGGAGGCAATTGCGAAATGGCTAAGCTGCAACGGGGAAATTTGGGGCTTGGGGCCGACGGCGGTTTTTGCCAGCGCCGCAGTTCTGTTTCTGTACAACGAGCTGGAGGCGACTGTTTTCTTACCTGGAGACCAGGAGCAGGTCTCCACTTTAGAGAAAACTTTGATTGTGAGTAGTTGTGAATTGTAAGTATATTTAGAGACTTTTTAATATTTGCAAGGCTTCATGAGGGCAATAACCAATTTTTACAAAGAAAATTTTTGCATCATGGCAAGCACAGGGGACCTGCGGATGGTAAACAAATGCATATTTCCTTATTTTTCTTTATGAGCCCTTTTACACAGATTTGTACACCAGTACCGAGTAAAATAACAAATTAGACTTGTTTTGTTTAATAATAATGCTTAACAAAGTATTTACTTTCGCCTTGTGGGTGTAGATCCTAAAAAACTGTTATATACTTCGAATGAAACAAAATGGGATTTGAATTCTTAGCAAATCGTAGCTACATTTATGTTGTAACTAATATTCATCTTCAGAATATGATTTTTTCTTTGATATTCAAGTTTTAAGTGTATATTCCAGTCCTCAATGATGCTGGGGATGTTGGCGCTCATGATCCACCTGTGGGTGTGCTCCATGCGTTTCTTCCAGTATTATCTTGACACCATAATAAGAGATGTAAGTAGACCTTTATTCCCATGCAAAACAATAAGGTTCGAATATTTTAACTGCTCCCTTCCTCTCTCTCTCTTACTCTTTTATTTTACTTGGCTTTCTACGCATGCTGGGTCCACCTATTCGTTAAAATAGGTTATTATGTGTGACATTAACTGATGTTTTCTTTCGTTTTCCAGTCATATACGGAATATGCACCTATATTACATATTATGTAAACACCTCATTTTCCTGTCGATTAGATACATCATTTTCCCGCAGAGCCCAAACATGCTACTAGAGATGACAACAATTGGCCTACTGGGTGGACAGTCGGAGATGGTACCACTAGGACCGCTCACCAGGTTCCTGCGTCAACAACAACCACAAATCCACATCACAGTCTGCTGGTTCCTTTCGCTCTGCTATGCCGACTATGTGAGGAAGAATTATTGCCAGAGGTTCAATATGCCCTATTTGGAGCAGTGGTTAGTATAGCTACTAACTATATACACCTGCATATAGTAAGTAGTATTGTTTTACCTAAAGGATATAAATAAATCTTTTGCGTAATTTTCAGCTGAAGGCTAAGAGCATTAACTCTTCGCCTTCAGCTCAAAATTGAAACATGTACATCTTCAATGTACTTATTCTTTAATATTTATGCAACCCGTATGGAAGCTCATAAAACTTTCAAATATCTATCACCGAATCCATCTACCAGGTATGGATAATTTTCTATCGCCTCAAAGTTTTCCTAAAAAGATTACCTACATGTACAATATTTATCAACTTTTTGTTAACAAGTAAACAGCTGAACGACTATGTAATATATTTGTCTGTGCTGGTGGGGTCAGGCAAACCGAGTTACAGGATCGCGTGATGCGCACCTCTCACCGGATAATGGAGAAGGTCAATTCTTTCGTCGGTTCCCTCCATCAGCAGCTGCGTGGATACGGGCAAGTCGACTTGCAAATACGGAACCAACAGAACCCGCCACCACCAATTGACACGTAATGCTTTTTTCATGTAAACATTTCAATTATATGAATTAGGCTATAATCGAAAGTTTCCAGAACAGAGACTTTTAGAGGATCTAGGGATTTTATTCCATTTCATTCATAAGGTAAAGGTCACAAACTTCAAGTTACCCATCTCTTTAAGTTACTTAAAGTTACTTTTAGATAGTACATACAAACTGCCGAAATGCCCAATACCTAACAAATTGTCCTAATATAGATAGCAAATGTTATTCTTAGACGATTAATTATCTGTAGTTAGAACGACTTTGTCTGTCAATACTGATTAATTCTCCAAACAGAAGACATTTCCAAAGCTTGCCTTTATAATATCTTCTGTTGAATATTTATTGACAACTTAAAGATTGTTGCAGCGGAGAGTACGTGTTGCCCGAGGGTTCTAGTTCATCATCAAAACTCATGTCACCAGGACCTATTTCAAGTTTTGTCATAGAATAAACGATATTGAGTGTTGTTTTATCAATATTGATATGTCGAGCGTGGGAAGCACACTATTATATGCAAATTTATCATCAACAGCATTTAACAGTCCACTGCTGGACATAGACCACTCCTTAGAAAGTAGGTTTTGGCCTACTATACCACGCTGGCCAGACGGGTTGGTATAGGGTTTGTTTCAAGTTTCTCTTCTCTTTGCAGTGCTGTTGTCCTGCGTAGTTTGCTCCCTTAGTCGGCTCTTACGACACCCAAGGGATGAAAAGGGGTGGTGACACTCCGTATTCTTAGTAATATAAAAATAGTAATGTTTAAAGGCTGCTAACCTCCACTAGTAGCTCAACAACTTTCTTACATAAAGATGCCAACTGCTAGTATAGATGTGAGAATTGTGGACTATCCAACCTATAACAGCCCAGGATACTGCTTCCGTATCACATCTGTCAAATTACTTGCAACTAAAACTTGCACCATGGCGCACCCATTCCACCTCCTTCACAACTAGCTTACTCTTCAACTAAATCGTATATTTAGGCGTTCGGTTGTTAACTAGAGTGAGAGTCCGCTTCCAAAGAAATCGTCGGTCGTCCTCGGCGGATCCGGCGGCCGAGTTTCCTGGTCAGACAAGCAATTGTGTGATTCCTGCACGTCGGGCTGCGAATCGCCAAAGGACCGACACTACCGGCTCATCGGCCAATCGAGCGATACGATTGCAGACGCTATCACAAAACTTAGAAATTATGTCAAAGTTAGTAAATTGTTTCTGAATATTTTATGCTTCTTCTTCTATTTAATATCTTGAAAAGATTTTCGTTTTTAAACCAGGTAGATTTAATACCATGGGTAGAAAATAATACATCCTTATTATAAACAGAAATATTAAGTGCCTACATTTCTGTCTGGTCAAAAATGTATGAGCGATTTTAGTGTATATTTGACATTTTTTTTAGTCTAACAGCTACAACGAATGCAACATGGGCCTCAATTCTGCTATTTTATGTTTACGCCAAGCCACTGTCAGACCACTGATACGCTATTGATATTTTAATAATTTATTTTAATTTATTTATTAACTTCAATAATTTATTATAATAAAAATAAATAAATCATTTCCTCAAAAAACTTAATATATTTTCAAATTATAAGGAAATTATTTATTTATTTTATTTCTTTTTAATTTTTTATTTTAATAAAAAAAAATATTAATTTTTTTTAATAATTTATTATAACTTATTTAATAATTTCAATTATTTATTCTAATAAAAATAAATAAATCATTTCCTCAAAAAACTTAATTATTTTCAACTACCGATAGCATGTGGCATCTCAATAGCGTGTCAGTGGTACGACACTGGCTTGGCGTCAACATAAAATAGCAGAATTAAGGCCCTGGCTTCAAGAGATTTGATAATTAACTTATGATTGTGTTCTTCAGGTGTCAACGTGTCCATGCGGATGCGATTCCCACAGTTTATTGGGAAACTCCCGTTGTGCGAGCCCCGTCCGTTCAATGCATGAGGGCGTGTCACATACTGACAATGAACTTGTGAAGCCGAATGCCATTTGATTGTCAAATTGTTTTATATGAAACTTTATGATGCCATTATAGACTCATTTAAAACTACTACAGTTTTTTAACCTTTTATTGATATAAAAAATACTCGCCTAGCGGTCAAATTTAGACACTTTGAAAACTGAACGAAATGTTTTGTCTTACACTGACCAGTATAACTTGAACTGTCGTCATCATTATCAAAAACTATTAATAATCCACTCCTGGATATAGGCCTCTCCTTAGAAAGGAGGTTTGGCCTTGTACTCGCACACTTCCCAAAAGTATCACGAAATAAAACACCACACTCAGAACAGACACATTTATTAACGGCACCTACGTGATGAATAGGGGTGGTGACACTCTGTATTCTTAATCCGTCACCACACGGACGCTTGAACTGTCATCGTACACATTTTTGTACCACGACCGATTAAAATATGATATGATATGATTATATATGATTATGAACTATTTTCTGATCGAAGACGCCTGGAGAAGCCTCTACTAGGTTAGGAACCTTCCTAACTTTAGGCAATAAGCTACAATTACATGGCATCTTTGAATTACAGGGATTAATTAGCAGGCTACCGATTGGCAAATGCTTATTGGGTCGCAGTGTAGGCGCTGTGTTGCGTCTCCCTTTATATATTATACAACAAAATAAAGTTTCAGTACTCCTTATGATTATCAACAATCCCCAAGATACGCGGAATAGTTTTTTCTATGCGGTAGTCTATAGAGTTAAGTCAAAAGTAAAGACTAGCCTTCAGGTACTATATAAATTTCATAATTTTTAATTCCACCAAAAATATTTTCATGTAAAATGTTGCCAATACGAGACTATATGGCTCGCACTCGCGCAAAAAGTTATCATGTAGAGCCAAACTTCTAACTCTACACGCCCTAACTCTACAAGTAACATCACAATCTCTACACCTTAGTCAAAATATGTGGTTTGGCCATTTCGTTACTACAGGAACTATTTATTGTATAACAGTAAAGTTATGAACAATGTTCAATCAATCCTTACGCCTATGTGACGGTAGCGAAAGCGCAAGACGGTAGCGGTAGGTTTATTGATGTCCATCTGGGCAAGTCACTACAAGAAGTATTGTTTAACAGAAAAGTTATGAACAGTAAATATTTTTTTTTACCTTACCCCCATGTGACGGTAGCGAATAGCGGTGGACAGGAATGGTAAGTATGATATTCATCTGGAAATCGTAAATACAAGAAATATTGTATAACAAAAATGAACAGTAAGTAAATTTTTCACCCATGTGAGGGTAGCAGATAGCGGTAGACGGTAGCGGTAGGTTTATTGATGTTCATGTTTGCAATCTTTACTACAAGAACTATTGTAGTGAATAAAGTTTTCACCTTATGACCATGTGACGGTTGCGACAATAGCGGCACTGCCCACTTTTTCTCGAAGCGTTTCGTCGTTTTTTTAACCCTCATAACTTGGGTTTGGAATATACCAGATAAACTAAATTCTCGGGATATGATGTCAATAGTGAACTTATTACCTAAATGTATACTTAGACTAGCTATCAGAAACTCTATAAATTTCATATTTTTTAATAATATTTTGCTGTACCAAAGACCTAGAATTATTCAATCTACAATTTTAAATACTTTTAAGGTCTTTGGTTTTAAAATGTCAAATCGAGATAGTAAAAATGTCAAAACGAATAATGGTGACATAGCAAATTAGTTTCGTGTAAATTACCAAAAAAAAAATATAATAAATTGCTAGCCAAATGTTAAATTTCGTCGGCAATTTTCTGTATCGTAAAAATTGGGATGTGGGATACCTCAGTACCTTTATGGAGTTACATTAAAACTGAGACAGTTATCGTAAGTGAAAAAGATAAACAGATTTAAGATTTATAATAGTAACCTCATCATCTCCATCTCAGCCATGCTAAGTTGACGTATAAAGTCCTACTGCTCAGAAAAGTGAGGACTTATTTTGTGATCTAAGGTAAAGGACTAACAAAGTAGGAGGGTCGTCACTGACGTATAAGTATCTAGAAAATATGAACCTAAAAATAAGGAAGTCACCTTTTGTTGCCACTCTCCAAATTTCTACCATTTTAGAAAATCAACGAACGTTTTGCAAGAAGCCGATTTTAAAATTCAGGCAGTCTCTTTAAAAATCATATTTTGATGAGACAACCTGACTATTACAGACCCAGTTCGAACACACTTAATCTAATCCATGTTTTGATTTAGCTTACTACGTCAGTATTCGGTAGAGAAGACCAGTGATGTCACTCGCTTTTATTGATGTCAACCCCAATCCTTTACCGGTTTCCCTCATCTTGTTCGTATTCTGTTTACTTTACTCAACACCATACATTAGGCACTAAAGTTTGAACTGCGGTAAATTGCAAGTAAGCCCTACACGCACGTACGCCCCCATCGTATTCCCTACCACTGCTGTTAATCTCGCAGGCAGAAATAGGCCTACCTTTTATAAATGTTTGTTGTGCAGCTATTTGAGCGGTCAAAATGTGGCGAGACAACTTTCTCGGCAGTCCCAACACTACTGTGGGCGGCAGGTACGGCGGCCTTGGCACAACGACTCCTCGCCGCGCTCTTCAGACGATTCATATTCCGCAGAGTGCCGCTCTGGGAGATAATACTGCAGGTAATCAGATATGGCAGCCAACAGGTTACTTGATGCAGGTAGCATTCAAGTTGTATGTGTTTGTTGTGAGCCAGAAAGGAGGCAACTGTCACGGGGCGGTTCTATACTTAGGCATAAGATGAATTTAGTCCATTTTTCTGCATTGTTTCGTTATTTGATTTTAATAAAATAATAGCTTGCGAACAAGCATTTGTGCGTTTACACTTCACAGACTTCATTTGTGCGGAAACCCGCTTGGATAACCATCAACACCTAGTTCTAAAGTTTGTGGGTTTGACGAGTGTTGGAATCGAACCGACTAAAACCACCATGTACCATGCTGTTAATAATATTTTGTTACAATTAGCCAGGCGGAATGTCAGTAGTTTATTTTAATACTATAAAGTTACGAATATTAGTTTGTATGTTGGTTAAAAAGCGCGTCTCTGGAACTATCACACAGACTCTAAAATCATAGATCACCACAATAGCAACAATCTGTTTTTTTTAATGTTTTATTCCATTATATGTCTGTGCCTTTTGAGAAGACAGGGCAAACAAACTCACGGCCACTCTTTTTCAATTACATCTAGAAACAGTCGCATCATTAAATATATCACATCATTGTTTTGATGTGTAATGAAGAGAAAACAAGATAAAGAAAAAATTATAGTTTTAAAAAACTAAAAAACACGCGTTCTATAGAAAACCAGACTAAAAAATAGAAAATAAACAGGCACACAACGCTTTTTTTCAAATTTATTTATTTTTTCTTTAGAAAGCGTGTTTTTTTAGTTCTTTAAAACTATTTTTCTTTTTAAATAGTGTATTGTCATCGGTCCTCGATATATATACAAAGTTTGAACGAATTCTGACCGTTTAAAGTCAGCCAAAATCACGCCCAAAGGAGTCGGTAACAAACATACAAACAAACATACATGTGAAGCTAATATAAAGTGTGTAAAAAAGATGGAATAGAATTGAAAGTGAAGTAATGTCTGTTTGTCTCTCTGTTGCCTCTTCACACTTAAACCGCTGAACCGATTTAGATGCAATTTGGTACAGAGATCGTCCGAATCCCGGGAAAGGACATGGTGTAGTTTTTATTCCAGAAATCATCCTTTAAGGGGGTGAAACGGGGGGTGGAAGTTTATATGGACAATCAATAACCGCTATACCGAGTTAGATGAAATTTGGTATAAAGATTCTGTGATTCTTGAGGAAAGACATAGGCTATTTACGTGAGCGGAACGGCGGGCAAAAGCTAGTGTCTAATTTAATAATTTGTCGTTCTAGCACCTACTATTCATATGGGTGGTGATATACAGCCTCCACTTTTGGGGCGTACTCGTGAAGGCTGTGAAGGTGATGGTTGAATATTGCTACGAAAACGTAAGTTGTATCTACCCTCGATGTCATACGCTAATATAATTATAACCTGGCCACTATTTGTTTAAATTAATTAAAGTAATAGCGGTCAGGTTCGCTGACAAATTGATCTAACAATCCAAATGGACCCAAAATATAGTCATGTACGCGTGTATGATCTCAATGCTGCTCTCGTTATAATAAGATTACATAGATTTCACTTCTTAACTTTCTAAAGAAGAAACATTATTCTTTTATCAAAGCGAATTTCAAAGGAAAACATATTATTCTTGTTTCGAAACCGGTTTCGAAACTTGGTTTCGTAGGCGGCCGAAAAGTAAGTACTCCATTGTAGATTAACATCAAATGTTGCATGCTTTGTCAGAACAAATGGTATTAGAACAAAGTATAGAGTTTCAGAGAGCTAGCAGATTATTTTATAAACGTAACCGTGGGCAAAATTTGTACAAGGATATCGCAGATTCTTAGTAAAACTGCTTAATCCCTAGTGTAGTAGAAGTTACTTACGTACATTGTCTCGTAGGAAAGCGACACTCGAATACTAGAAGACGAAATAGAAAGCTGTAAGGTCATGCAGCAGTGGATGATCTGGATATGCGGTGTGGCGCCTCTGGCCATCTATATACAGACGAGGCCGAGACCAGAAGTACCGCCACTTATGATATGGTAAGTGACAGAGTTATTATTGATATGTTCAAGCTTCAAAAGATTTAAAAACCAAATCACGGGGATATAGACTTTACATTAAAACCACGAAGCAATACACTTGTCTTCTTTTTTGGGTATTCATAAAAAAGATTACTGATTACAAAAAGACTGCATTTAAATGAAATGGTACCACAACTTATCTCATGTTAGAACAATAAAATATTTCAAAATATTCTTTTTATATTACAACCGCTTTTATTAGTTAACTTGTAACTTACCATAGTTAAACCGCCGTAAGCTTGACCCTCCTGATGGTTTGCGGGACGCGGGGCGGGTGATGCGCTCGGCTATACATGACACGATGTACTAACTCGATATCTTCAGATTTATTTGTTTGAGATTTAATCTACACACGATGTAATAAAAATCGAATTTATTTCCATGTATTATAATGCCAGTGTTTTGTAAGTTTTTATGATTAATTGTAAAATTTAATACTGTAAAATAATTTTAATAAAATCACCTTATCTTCATCATGTAAATTATATTCAGATACAATTTAAAAATTAAGTAAAATAATAAATATTTTTTATTAGAACTTTAACAGTAGAACCTCTGTAAGCCGAACTTCGAGTTTTTAAATCTTTTTGTGACGCAGAGTCGGCAGATTATCCATGTTGCAAAATAATACCGTGTGTAGCAGTCTTAAGAAAAATAACACGTACAGCCACACTTTCACGTCAGTCACTGCCGGCGGACAGCGACGCACTAGCTTATTGGTTGAATGCACCCCCGCCCCGCGTCCCCCAAACCATCAGGAGGGCCAAGATTACGGCGGTTTAACTATAGAGTTTGAAAACTAATTTAGGAAGTAAATCGAATTGACGCATCGCAATGAAATGTAGTATTGTTGACAATACCATAATTTTGCATCTTGAGTGCCTAGTGCAGGTTTATTTCACATCACGAGTTGATCTCGACAGCGAGAGCGTTTGGAGTTGCGATTGGTGAAGATTTTAAAGCAGGGCAATCGCAAGGCCGAACACTTAAGATGTGAAATAAACAGTGGGGCCTCTGATGATGTAGCTGTGATAATCGTGGGAGCCATTCTTCGACACATATGCACTGGCTATAGTTAAATTAATAGATATAAAACATACAACTACATGGTGTTTTTGCAGCAGTGGTTATTTTTTTACCGTATTTTAACATAAGACTAACTAAAACTTCTTGAAACCCTTCATCAACAGCCTTTACTAGTCCACTGCTGGACATAGGCCTCTCCTTAGGAAGGAGGTTTTGGCCTACTCTACCACGCTGGCCAGACGGGTTGGTATAGGGTTTGTTTCAAGTTTTCCTTCTCTCTGCAGTGCTGTTGTCCTGCGTAGTTTGCTTCCTTAGTCGCCTCTTACGACACCCACGGGATGAATAGGGGTGGTGACACTCTGTATTCTTAATCCGTCACCACACGGACTGACGACTGACTTGAAACCCTTACAGGATAACAACCAGTCCATGGCAACGCCGGGAGATGGGGCCATACGGGTACTACCTAAACCGACCTCTGTCATCACTCCAGTCTTCAACCAACCTGTCCCCTAGACAGCACGCTATGACCCTCCGGCGAGCCTTCAGCGATTCCAAGATCATCATCAAAGAACCAATTAAGAAGAAAAGAATCTCCAAGTCTGTTTGACATTTTGACAAACCTTTTATTATAAAGCATGATGTTTGTGTTTGGTTTTATTTTGAATGCCTTCAAATAAACCGAGCTCTCAAGTAGGTTGTCTTAATTATTTTTTTTTTAAAGACAACTCCCGCACTAGGAATAAATCCTGTGTCGCGGGGGACTTTACAAACATACATGAAACGGACACAAAGTACACCCAGACTCAGAACAACAATTTGTAGATCACACAAAGTGTTGTCCCATGTGGGGTTTGAACCCACAATACTAGCGTAGTATTAAGCGGCGTTGCGACCGCTTAAACCACTACGCCATCTGTGCAGTTTTCGTAATCGTGCAATTTCTTCGTAATCAATTGAGTTGGAAGGAACATTTACATGACTTCGATGACAATGCAATAAAAATATAAATGGTATCCTATCATATGATGACGGGCCTGGTGGCCTAGTGGTTAGCGATACGGACTAATAAACCTGAGATCGTCGTTTCGAGTCCTACCGAGAACAAATTATGTCTGATGAGCGCGCTCATTTCTTCTATGTCTGGGTGGAACATGTGTATAAGATTTATATATATATATATATATATATATATATATATATAATATTTATATATATATATATGTATATATATATATATATATATATATATATATATGTATATGTGTATAATATTTATATATATATATATATATATCGCCTGTCCCTATTAAGAAGGTCGGATATGCAATTTTCTTGATTTTGCTTTTATTTTACTATTGACCTAAAAAAGCAATTTTTCAGCAGCTTTAACAAAAAGTCAATTTTTCCTCATAGTTTTTAAAATAGCTTTAAAATAGTTAACAAAGTAAATTTATGTATTTATATATGTACAAAATTAAGCAATTTTAAACTTTGACGCGTCCTCCTGTAAAATTGCTGATTTGCAGATCCTACATTCTTAATAGGGATGGGCGATATATATATATATATATATATATATATATATATATATATATATATATATTTATAAAGAAAAATATGTGCCCAGGTGAAGTCTTGCGGGAAATGGCACAAAAATTATAGTCGGCAAAATGTGGGCATTAACGTCTCTACTTACCCCTACGGGAATAAAAGACGTGAGTATATGGATATGTATGGTCTCATGATGGATCCGGGAAGAGGCCATAGGAACTCCTGATCTTCTAAACACTTGTCTGGGCTCTATGGAATTTCTTGATATTTTTTATAGACATAGATGGTGCGAGCCCACTGGAGGTGGCCAGCATCAACCGTTGGGCCACGGTCTACCAGGCATGATCATCTCGCCTGGTCTTTTGGAATGGAATTGTTTTTAGTCACAGAGATTTAACATGTGATTGTGATTTCGTCATAGACAAAGATAAATGGCATTGAAATCAATCAAAAATCTTTTTAATCAACGACCTTTTTTTTTTAGATTAGACCTTTCGCGAGACTTGCGTTAGCGTAATAATAATTAAGTCGCAGTGATTTGTAAATCAGTCACACTGGTGCTGTGATTTATAAATCATATGATTTATCTCATGCGATTGTGATTTTATTCCATCCCTACTAAGTACCTATTCATAACCAAACCCAAAATTGGAATCCGATGGTAAACTTTTTCTGAGAAATTTCTTGGTAGAAACACTTGTGTTTAAGTAATTGTTTTTAAAACGTATAGTATTTATTAGGATAAAATCTCAATGGTGTCTCCTGAGTTGCAGGCGTTCATGGGTGGTGGTAGTCACTTTCCATCAGGTGACCCGTCTGCTCGTCTACCATAAACAAGGGGGATATTGTTAGGTAAATAAATTTGACTATCACTAAACGTGTTTAAATGAGGTTCAATAAAGATAAAAATAGTAGGTCATACATTTAGTTTATAAATTGAACTGCTTTACAATGTACTGACTATGAAGAATCTTGGTCTTTAATCACGTTTTTTTTTTGGAAATAGAACATAATTCTAATAGTTTTACTTTGTTAGACCAAGGGTAAGACAGTATAAAAATGTTTTGATTCTGTAAGTCTACAAATAAATTCTAAAATCCCGCCATTCTTACTATTGTCTTGTCTATGCTCAATATGTCAACGTATAACACAAAATAAATTACTACCACGTTTAGAACACATCACTGAATAAGATCATTAATAGAAAAACATACAAGAATTGAATTAGGTATACCAAAACATAATTTATACTTTTAATCATTATGTTTTAAGAAATATATAGTAAAAACTTTTTGGTCTAAGTTTGAGGACACAAGTTAATTAAAAAAATAACATTGGCCTCCTATTATGTTTAATTCGACTTCAATAGATGTCACTATCGCGTAAAAATAAAAGTCGGTGTTAAGAGTCTCCGAAAGGGGTATAATAAGGCGCTCATCACTTAGCACAGCATACTAACCTTGCGTAGGGTGTACCGTGATCATGAAGGCGGTTGCCCCGGGCCGGCCCCATCCATTGCACTTAGGGTGGAATTGGCTGGTCTGTGACTATCTCAAATAGGGATATGTCGTACGTGTAATTTTTGGTAGTTGGACTAGCGTTCTGCGCGGTCCACATAATAGAAAGTACATAGATGATAGATCCAGACAAGAATGATTGACCTCAAGAGTTTACATAATTGTTTGCTATATAAAGTCAAATAATTAGAATGTATATGGCTAATCATTTAATAATTTAACTAGGTATGTTATTAATTAAACGTTTCAGAGCCTAAAAAGAAATTTATTAACAAGAAACCACACAATACAATATTTATAAACATTATAGAATACGCAAGAGATAAAAAAAAAAGAAGTTTTGTGACTGATTGTAACCTATCTCTATGTTTTATAAGGTAATGCATCTAGTCAAATGGGCCATCGTCATCGTGTCAGGCTAAAATAATGTGTACTATTTCGTTAGTCATATAAGTTAAGGCCACAAGGAGACTGTTTATTTAGCTGTTTTGCGTCGACTCTAGGTACGCCAGGAAGGTTATAGTTTTCGAGTGTACGTATATGTTTTATTCTTTGACATTATCTGCAGTTTAACGGTTTGATGGATTTTGGCTTAAGAAGTGTCGTTCGACTCGAATTTTATTATTCTTTATACTAAGATTTGTATCGACTGATATTTAGTTGCCTGGCATTTGCGTATTTGTACTACACAATCTTCTTTAAAGGTTAGTACAATAATGATTTATTTCTAGTTTTTTAAATGTATAAATGTGTATTAAGTTTATACTTTAAACATAAACTATTTAAAGATTTTGTACGTCAAACCATTTTATCAACAGCCTTCACTAGTCCACTGCTGGATATAGGCCTCTCCTTAGAAAGGAGGTTTTGCCCTACTATACCACGCTGGCCAGACGGGTTGGTTTCAAGTCATCTATATATTATTATAATAATGTTAAGTTGTATAAAAACTCAAAAAGTTCTGCACCGATTGTGCTCAAATTTTGACACTGTATAGAAACCGCTTCAAAGATGGTTTTAATCTGTTTTATCGCGTCACTTTTGGTCCTCATTTCTTATCAATACAACCACAGTTGAAGAGTGCCAGGGTACAGCTAATGTAATGTTAATAACTTAAGTCTTTATACTTAAGTTCTAAATAGGTTTGTAACCAGACTAATGACACAAATATTGGTTTGAATATACATATTACGTTTTTATGACATAGTTCTGAGCCTAAAAAAGGTCTGCTTGAATACTTTTTAAAACATCCAGTATCATTTTTTGTATTTTGAATTTTTGAAAGCGTCTATTATAATATTAATAGACGCTATAATGCTATCATGTTTCTTGAAAAGCACTCACCACATGTTTTTAGTGCGTTTTATATTATAATTAAATAAAAAATAATACATATTTTTCTATTGGACTATTTCGCAGAGGCCCTTGCTCTGATGATTGCTCTGTTCTACTACTGTACGAGAAAGATTATTCCTCGGTTAATATATACGGTTAATGTCACCAGCCCTATTCATCCCGTGGGTGTCGTAAGAGGCGACTAGGGGAGGTCAACAGCACTGCAGAGAGAAGGAATACTTGAAACAAACCCTATACCAACCCGTCTTGCCAGCGTGGTATAGTAGACCAAAAGCATCCTTTCTAAGGAGAGGCCTATGTCCAGCAGTGGACTATTAAAGGCTGTTGATGAATATAATAATAAGTATCTAACACGTGTACAATCCGTACTTATATTGTAAATGTGCAAGTAAGTTTGTTTGTTAGCCTTTCATGACTAAACCACTAAACCGTTTTAAAAAAAACACCAATGGAAAGCTGGCAATGACATGCTACTGTAAACCGCGGTAACCGACATTCACGCGGGCGCAGCTAGAGGCAAAAGCTAACATGTAACACCCGTGTGGTGACGGATTAAGAATACGGAATGTCACCACCCCTATTCATCCCGTGGGTGTCGTAAGAGCCGACGCAGGAAGCAAACTTCGCAGGACAACACTGCAAAGAGAAGGAAAACTTGACACAAACCCTATACCAACCCGTCTGGCCAGCGTAGTATATTAGGCCAAAACCTCCTTTCTAAAGAGAGGCCTATGTCCAGCACTGGACTATTAAAGGCTGTCGATGAATATGTAAATATTTGGAAAAACTATCCCTAAAAGTAGATCATTGCGTTCAGATCAGTTTTTTCAGTAAGTATTCATCGCTAAAGTACAGGATTTATAAAATTTTAGATTACGTTCTCCATTATTTTACGTACGTATTGTTTTTAAGTTTACTTTTAGTTACTTAAGTTAAATCTTAACATGGGTACCAGTGTTTCAATTAAACAGTGTTTAAGACGTATTTTAATAATTCTGATGTACTGTACTATGATGATGTAGGGTACTGTGTTAGTGAACGACTGACACGAAGACCAGACCAAAACCTTACACTAATATGTAAATATATAATACATATAATAATATATCTCACACATCTCACACACGGCCGTCTGATCCCAAACTAGGCAGAGCCTGCGCTATGGTAACCAGACTGCTGATAAACATACTTATATATTTTTAAATGCATATTATAGATAAATTACACCCAGACACAAATGTCCGTGTTCATCACACAATATTTGTTCGGGGTGGGAATCGAACCCGCAAGCTCCGGTTTAGCAGTCAGAGTCACTAACCACTAGACCAACAGGCCCATCAATATATACAAATGAATATATACTAACATAGCGATGACGCCCTCCTGCTCTCGTTTGACTCCCATCGTGTGAAAAGCCCTTGCGCGGGTGACAGTTCCTTATGAATGCTTACTCGTTGCCTCAAATCTGACGATACTAAATTTTTAAATAAGACAAAGACAAATTTCATAAACTTACCTATATTAAAAAAAAAAACAAACAACCAAAAAAAAATTGTTTTTGTTATATTCCCCAGTAGAAATTAAAAAGAAAACAAAAGTAACATGATAAGTAACCATTATTTATTTATCATCAATGTTACAATGTAACATTGACGGTACTAACCGACCGCTGTTAACACTATAACGCTCTGGCGCAGCCACGCGAACTGTGTGGAAAGAAATACACAACATCAGACACGCTTTATTTCAATATTGTACAATTTACATTGAGGCGAGAACTATACATAGGATTTATATTATATACATAAGTAAACAGAACGAAATAAATGGATATTTGAAAAACCCCAGAGCTTGAATATACTTCATTAGGTATAGTTCTAACCTTACAACAATTCTGTATAAAAAACGAGATATAAAAACATGTCATTTGATATTTTATATCAATAAATGATATCCATTCGGATACTAACAAGTGGCCGCTACGTGTCGCCCGCGCCGACCTTCTTAACGTCCAAATTCTTCAACGGGTCGTTTTTGCGTGCCTGGAACAAACATATTATTAGACATCTAATATTCTTTTTATATTACAAGACGTGTAAACGAACCCACAGCTGAGAGAACAAACCGGGATTCGCTAAAAATTAAAAGTACCAACTATTACAATTATTCCTGTTACGGGAACAATTAGAGCTAACTCTCAGAACAAGTGGTAAAGATTCCAAACACACGTTTTTGAAAAAAAAAGGATTTAGAGTGAAAGTTTTTGGAAAATTCCGAAAAACAGTTTTGGTTTTTAAGAAAAAATTTTTTTTATTAGTTTCGACAAGTATTTAAGCGGGACTGCAACGAGAACTATCAATATTTGTTTAATGAAATCTTTTCTATTAATGGTTAATTGTTTCTTTCATAGCGGGCCGCGTGTCTGACGCTACCTTTCTAGAGAAAAAACTCACCTGATATTTATGCCTCTTTGCACTGCCGTAATTGCCGGGCTGTTTCCTTTTCTTCTGCGGAGCGGGTGCGGCAGTAGTTTCCTGTTCATCTTCCACCGTCTCCTCATTCCTCAAGGCTGCAGGCAGCAAGTAATCCGGTACGTGGGCCAAGTGGTGTTGCACTTTGACGGTATGTAGGGCCTTGTCTCGTCGTAACGCTGCCAAATCTGTTGGATTATCTTCAAAGTAGCCCTGGTGACAAATTCTAGTGTCAGTGAAGTTTTTTTACGAAATTTAAGTCATAAAAGGTGTAATGGTATCAGAGAGAAGATTAGTCGTTCATCAATGTGATATGTTACATGGTGGTCATCATAGTGTATAACTAAATTATGTTTAGAACACAGATATTGTAATTAAAACTTTGTTTTAGATATAACCAGCTTTTACCCGCGGCTCCACCCGCGTAATGTTGGTCGCGGTAAAAAGTAGCCTATGTTACTCGCTGGTAATGTAGATTTACATTGGTGAAAGGTTTTTAAAATCGGATTAGTAGTTTAGGAGTGAAAGTGGAACAAATAAACTCACTTGGACATTATTAATATTAGTTATATAAGTATAGTACTGATATATAAAAGGTTACTTATTTTTGTCAGACCTTCAACAGTAAAGTCTACATGTTTGTGGTTCAGAAACTAATTGACAACTACTATTTCTAGGCTCACTTACCAGGATTGTAATATCGAAAAACCTGAATGTGAAAATGTTCACTTAAAATTTACACAGCTGGACATAAGCCTTAGGTTTTGGCCTAATATACCACGCTGGCGAGAAAAGTCGGTACATGGTTTGTCAAGAGTTCCTTCTCTTTGCAGTGCTGTTGTCCTGCGTAGTTTGCTCCCTTAATCAGTTTTTACGACACCCACGGGATGAATAGTGGTCGTAACACTGGTATTCTTAATCCGTCACCACACGGACGCATTTATTTTTACATATCACTTCCGAAATTATAATACTTCGCCACTATGTAAAGATATATAATTCACTAGCAGTGCCCTGTAGTTTCACGAAACAGAAAAACAATGTAGATATAACTAATACGTATTATTATACATATATTAATCTTACCTGTAACTTCTTACAATTAAGTAACTCCTGTTTTATCTCTTTGAGCCGCGCTTCCCGGACCGCTATCCTAGTGACCGCGCGCCACGCGTCCCGAGATCTGTAGCGGAAACCCTCCACTTCTTCTAACGCGAACTCATATTTCCTGAAGTACACAAGAAGATTTATTTTAGAGACTGCTATCCAAACTTGAGACCTTTATACTTCACACCTATGTGTACATTCTGGTTAGCAAGACAAACATGTAAACCTGTAATCATATTTGTGTTTTTTTATATGATATAGGCGGCAAAACGAGTCACCTAATGGTGACTACAGCCCATTGACACCTGCAACTAAGAGTCATAAATGTCTTGCCTCCCTTCCAGTAGTCCTTTCTCCCCAAATCCAGAATTAGTAAGAAGAGAGACAGGGGCAGGTTTGGGCCCTGGTGATCTTACTCACTCGGGTGAAAAGCAGCAATAGAATTGATTAACACCACCACCTTATTAAAACCTCCATCGAGTTGGCCCTGGTGTATCGAAGCATGGCTCTCCCACAGTATAAATTAAATATATATATGTATATATGCTACAACATATATATGTTACAAACATAGGTAATGGTCAGCATGTTGTTGTTGTGCTTATTCTAAGATTGCTGGCTGGCATGCTCTGCACTGTCATCCATATGCTGAGTCCCAGACCATTTTGTCTTTAAGTATTTTTATGCAAGTACTGTTATTAATTTTAAGTTTGTGATGTAAAAGACAAATGAAGTTTTCTTATTAATCAGTTTTAGTCTCATCTTAAATTTCCATAGCCGTTGAAGATTTTTTAAATTAAAGTAAACTTACTGTAAAACTTTTTGGCTCTTGAAACCTTTTGATAAATGTGCTTCTACTGCATCCATTAAAGGTTTTTCTCTTATTGACACAAATGACAGTACCGATCCCTGAAATAAAAAGTAGTTTATCAATAATATAATTATTTCTTAAATATCAATACAGAGCTCAGCATTACTTAGTACAAGAGGTTATAACAGGTAAATGTTATAAAGGAAAGCTGATAATAACTGTGTTACAGGAATACTATGTTCGTAACTACTATTAAGGTACTCTTATTTCTACTGCATAAACCTGACATGCTGTATTTTGGAAATGAAAATAATAATAATAACCCCATTCTTCTTCTCAGGTAAGAATAATCGTTTTTATTTATATTGTACTTATTTTTCAAATTATATGTCAGTATCAAATATTCTCTAAATTAATTTAAGGAGCAGAATATTATTGGATAAAATGTACTATGAATATACTAGTTGTATATAATTAATCAGAAAAAGAAACTCCTTTCTATGACAATAAAGTTAATTACACAACATTGACTTAATTAGGTTTACATGAATTAAAATTGTCGGGTGTAAAATGGGATATTACGAGATTTTTGCTGTCGATGTTTAATATTATAAGTTAATAACTTACCGAATTGTTACCCCTAGCTGTTCTACCAGCCCTATGTACATACGAATTAACGTCTAATGGAAAATCAAAATTGATAACATTGGACACGTTCTGAAAATCTATTCCTCTTGAAACACCCGATTCTTTATCCTTCTTTCTTTTAGAGTTTTGTTTCTTTCTCTTCCTTTCTTCTAAAGGTAATATACCTCCGTCAGGCTTTTCAAGAGCCATTTCATCTGACGCCACAATTATTTGATACCTTCCTTTATTAAATTGGTCTACTGATAAACACCTGACAGCTGCAGGCAGCTCCGAGTTTAACACACATGATCCTATCTTGAATTGTTCTAGGTATAACTTTAACCTGAAATAATAAAGTCACAATGAGAGCGAGGAAAATATGGAAGATAAAATGATGTTATTATTATCTGAAAAATGGACCCCATTCTTCTTTTCAGGGAAAAATAATCGTTTTTATTTATATTTTACTGATTTTTTTAAATTGTAAAGTCTGTATAAAATATTTTCTCCATTTATTTATGGAGCAGAATATTATTATTATTATTTTATAATGTGCTAACAGAACACTGATCCAGCACTAAATACACTTTCTGGTTAACTATTCCAAATGGTCACCACGTAATTTGGTAGAAAGTGTCTTATAGGGTTTTGTCTGTTCTTCTGTTTTTTTTTTAAATAATATACTTAACATATTTTTTTCCTGGTTCCTCTATTATGAAATTAATGAAATGTTTACTAATCAAAACGAATTATGTGTATTTCTCCCAAAATAGTTTTTGGGAGAAATACACATAATTTGTTTCAAATAAATTAAAATATTTAATCAAAACTTTGAACTTTCTCAAAATTAGAATCTTGTAATATACATAATGTATACACCTTCATTAATTTATGTTTTCAGTGCACAATGAAATGTAAAGCTAACTAACACTTACTTATAACATCTATCCACAGTCCTCACAAAGATTATACTCTTGCCTCTAATCAGGTTCAGTTTCAACAATGCATATAATATGGCCGCCTTATCATCTTCTTCTGCAAACAGATGGTAATGCTGCAGCTGTGATGACGGTGCTAATTCTGGTTCTTCCAGTTTTAGTGTCACCGGGTTACGGAGGACAATTTTCTTTAAATTCAAAACATCATCCGATAGTGTTGCTGATGCAAGGACTGCTTGATAGATTTTTGGTAAATGCCTGGAAAGACAATATTGAATTACTAACTTTTAAACTTTCGCGTTCCATGATAATTAATATTATTTTAACAGGAATTAACGCGATCTCTTATCACGGCCGGTGCAACCTGGTCGAAACGTCAGGCAAACCAGAGGTATGTAATACCCTAAATAAGAGACCGTTAAAATAATATTAATTAATATTGAATTAATTCTATGCTAGTTATCTAACAACAATTACTATTCTATGTCTTAACTAAAATAACTAACTTATAGCAGGGACACTTTGTGTGCTTGTTTTGCTTTTGTTCTTGGTCTGTAAGGCTTTGTTAATACAAAATATTTAAATAAAATATGATGGTATATGGTGATATGGTTGTTTAAAAACAGGACAACAAAAACCTTAACCTTTCAACCTTGTAGGATGCCCACAGGCCAGGTGGAGTGACGAGTGACAAGATGGCGGTCAGGAGCTGGATACGAGAAGCCCAAAATCGATCTAAATGGCGTGTAATGGGAGAGGCCTATGTCCAGCAGTGGACTGCGATAGGCTGATGATGATGGTTGTTTAGCATAGTTAAATTTGATTTATTCATCAAATACCACCTCATACAACCGTATATTAAAAAACTTATTCTAGGTTCTCATACTAAATAATTACAGGTTCCTTACCCCAGCAACTCCTTAATTTCATCTTCATAACCAAAAGAAAACACTAAATCTGCTTCATCAACAACCAGAACTGCTAAATCTTCTTTCAACCTCATATTATTTGCTTTCAAATGCACCAAGGCTCTTGAAGGAGTAGCCACCACAATGTCTGGTTTGTCAGATAACAAAGCTTTCTGCATCTGTGTATCACCACTTGACGATATGTCTATACATTTGACTTCTCTAGCACATTTTGCTGTCAAGTCACCTATTACAGCGGTAATCTGAAATGACGTACTAGAAAATGATAATGTATTGTTAGCTAAGTCTCGGAGGCAATTAACAGAAACAAATATTCAATAATAACATTATTATATCAACAAGAAAAGCATGTAAGTTAGATTGAATTGATTTCATTGATTGAAAACTGTATTTCAATATTTTCTAACGTCACAGGCGGCAGAAACAATAAATTATTTTCTACTCGTTTCTGATTTCTTTAAATGACATTTTACAGGTATTTGACAAAAAATTTACCATTATCTCTCATCATCATCATCATCAACAGCCTATAACAGTCCACTGCTGGAGATAGGCCTCTCCTTAGAAAGGAGGTTTTGGCTTACTACACCACGCTGGCCAGACGGGTTGATTTAGGGTTTGTTTCAAGTTTTCCTAAATGATGTCTGTAATATCGAAAATTGTGACTTGAAAATGCAGTATTGCAAACTGCTGTTACCAGTTTTTGCAGTCTCATCAATACTCAAGCATCTGCACCACTTTTGGCATTAAGATCAGTATATTGCAAACGATAATTATGAATACACTGTTCAAAATATAGTCCAATCTTACAATTAAAGGGAAATACACTTTTATATTGATTAGCTTTACATAATGAACCAATTTTAAGAATATATTAAAATAATTTCCTAATAAAATTAGTGTGCGTCACACCCTGTCTACTGGAACTCACCTGTCCACATAGTTCTTTACTGGGTGACAGGATAAGGGCTCTTATACATTGATGTGAACTTGTATTTTTCAAATTAAATATTTTCTGAATAACAGGTATTGTGAATGCTGCCGTTTTACCAGAGCCTGTTCGAGCTCTCATCAATACGTCTTTCCCTTCGAGCAGCAGTGGGATAGCAGTTTCTTGAATCAACGTGGGCTCGGGCCATCCGAGTTGTGAAATAGCCTAGGTAAAATAAAACAATAAGTTACTACACATTACTCACGGTCATTAATATTTAGTTAATTAAATGATAATTAAAACTTTTTAAACACTTTCATTTCATTTCATTTCAAAGTACTTACCTTTAATATTCGATCATCTAATTCCATTTCATGAAACATAACCTTCTTTTCTTCAGCCATGTCTTTAATATGATACTTCTAACCAAACTTCAATCAAATTATCAATCAACTACATATACAAAATAAAAATATCTTGCTTAAATTGTATATTTGCAATGGTTAAAATCTACAATCACCACACCACTTACAACAATTCACGTGTGTTATTAGATTTAGAGATCGACAGCCATTTTGAATTAAATTTGCTAAATGTAGATAAATAAAAAGAATGAATGAATGATTTTTTTTCTTTTAAATACAGACTAAAAAAATAACCAAAGGACAATCAACATCTAAACTGCTAATGTTAATCATTTTTTTAGCTTAACTTTCAAATTGGTCTATCTTTGAGTAATATAAATAAATAACCTTTATAATAGATTTAAACTACACAACACTTAATGCAGTGGCAATAGGTGAGGCGACAAATGATATTACTTTGACGTACACTCTAACATTTTACCACTGTAGATTGTTAAAAGTACAACAATTTATGGTTTACAATATAGTTGTGAATTGAAGTTTAGCTGGGTTTTAAATTTGACCACTATTCCTATCATTAACTTTTTACACGTTAAAGTAAAATCATTGACTTTTAACCGCTTAAACTACTACGCCATCCGTGCAGTCAAAGTAGTCTTGTCCATCTCTTTCTAGTCGAGCTCTGTTGTTGGCTGGGACTATAAGGGTCACCCCTTATATTCCCAGCCGTTTCGGGCCATTCGGGCATCCGTCTCTCTCGTTGTCTGTTTCGCTTCCACTTACAGGCAGCTGTACCTCGTGTTCTCTCTATGCTTATACCTCTTACAATCTATGCAGAACTTTTTGAGTTTTTGAAGCGTACACAAACAAATTCAACATGTATATAAATTAAAGGTTTTAATGCGTAAATTTTGGAAACTGTCAATAATGACAGTGACTACAAAATCTTATATCTTAAATCTATCTTATAAATCTTATCCACAGAAGTCATCGCGTGTCTAAACATATATTAATGCTACGACAAAGAATATTTATTATTAAAAATTAAAAGAAAATTATGGGATGTAAAACCATCTCTGTAATGTCTTATAAAAAAATTAAAATGGAAAGGTAGAGGCGGACCTTGTTGCGAAATTGTAAAAAAGAAATGTTTTAATTGTTGTAAGCCTGTAAGAAATTGCTTTTTAGCGATAAGACCGCTATTTGTACATGGTCAATAACTTGATGTACTATTGTATTCATATAGGATGTACTAAACTGGTGTATAATAAAGCTTATTATTTTCTACTCTATTTTGTTACAAAACCTGCTGTTGATTTCAGTCGTTAAAACTTTTGTCTATAGATTTTTTACTCTGGTATATTGTGTACCTATTCCGTGAACATGACATAGAAGACGGACGGCATTAAATTTTTACATTGAGAACACTAAACGAATGGCCGAGTTGTTTCTGCAGTGCATATTTTCATTTAAACGGTGTTATTTATAAAAAAAAAAACAATATTTCGTGATTATTTCTAGAAAAGATATTTGCTTTAATTTCTTTCTATGTGAATTTAGGTTTGTGACTTACAAAAATGTTATACCACAACGTCGTTACAGACCGCAGTTCATTGCCTTATGTAAAACTTGAAATAGTGTTTCTTCCGTGAGTGACCGAAATATACGGTGACTTATGTGTTCAGTGTGATTATATAGTTTCACGGTGACCAAAGTGACAAAATGTCAAATTCCACCGCTCAAGTTTTGATGAAGAAGGGTAAAAGGGGTGCAGCCGCTTATATACACGCGGATTGTGAGAATGGATCCCCTCAGCACTTGGGTCCGTTACTGGACGTGCTCCTCAACCCTAGCAAAGCTATCGACGAGTGGGAGACGATAGACTGGTGCCGTTGGTTGCTCGCGGGCGGGAGAACACCTGACGAATTTGCAACTATTGGTGAGTTTATTCAAATAACTGTACTCTTCAAAATATGTCTATCGTAGTTTGTAGGTTATGTATAAATTTTAATGTTACGACGATTCCATTGCACAAAATAGCTCAGTTTTCTTAAGAAATTAGTGCTACATCATGTTCTTCCATTACTTGACCAGCAATATTACATGCTCTGTGTATTGTTGTGATGTTCCCAGATGTTCCTTTCTCAGACATCAGATTTCTTAAATTCTTTTATTATTAGTCTCTTAAAAATAAACATTTTCATTTGTTGTATTTTTTATAATGACAGCCTTTTTTTTTAAATGGGTTTGTTATCTATGCCAAGAAATACTGATTATAAAATATGATTTAAAAATGTTTTCTAACTAAAGTTTATATTAGAATATTGTCATGATTTTGCTTGGTCTATTTGTTACGCTTAAATAAGTATATTATACTATACCTTGTCTCAAACATAACTTCAAAGTTACTACTTAGTAATAATAAAGTAGCGGTTTATTTAATTAAAAAATTACATGCAATAGACAACCATGGAAAATGTGTACTTCAAGACCATTTGTTTTATTTGAAATTTTCATTTTTTATCTTATTAGGTTGTAGAAGATCCATTCTTATTTACATAATATATTTTTTATGCCCATTAAAATAATTGTAATATATTGTTGTCAAATATAATCCATAGCAAGTATATTATTTATAGTAACTTTCCATGAACACTTTGGACACAACTTGACACAAGTCAATTGCATAACAACTTTTTTCTCATTTTATTTTTAATAAAACTTGTTATGCTATGTTAACAAAACTCTATGTGGTTGGAATTTTTAAATATGAGGTTTGAGTGTCCTTTGCTTCCTTTGCTCTTGCATCATTTAGTGATGTTTAACACAACAATAATAAAAAAAAAAACTTTCCAAATTGCCGGTTTCCACTGCCTTTTCTTCTAATAGGTTGTTAAATATATTAGCAGTTCATTTTACTCACTCACTTTGTGTATTGATAAATAAACTTTTGGGATAGCTAGCTGTAATCATTCCAATTTGTGGTCCAACAAATATATTGTTTGCATACATTGCTGCCAAAGCTATGTAGTGTAACTAAGGTTTGAGAAAAAAAAACAGAGTCATGATTTATTTGCAAATAGAAAAGGCTTTTCCCTTATCTTTAATTATTTCCACTGAATTATTTATGTTTGTTTTTTACTTGTAATTGTAACTGAGTCTTCCTTTTTACCACCTATCAGTGGGTTGTGTAATAAAACTATTAGTTAATTTTACAGCATAAACAATATGAAAAATAACAAAAGATAAAAAATATAGTAATATTCCTGTTAAATTTCGCACATTAAAAGAACTTAAAACTAAATATTAAGAATAATTTATATAAAATATTTTAGAACATAGTTGTTTACAACACAAAAGTAAACAACACTATCACTGCATTTTTATCTCAGCTAAAGTCAGAAATTTAATATTTTATTTACTAGCATTTACATTGATTTTGGCACACAATTTTTCCTTCATAAAAGTAGCCTATGTGGAACTTGACACAGGTAGATAGTTTAGATTAGTCCAACCTCTCTATCTCTGTGCTAAGGGAGCCTTCCTGGTGCGATTGATATGGTGATTATCAAATCTCCATTCATCCATTATTTTAATGGGATTTTATATTATATTAGAACAGAATAAATCTTTTGTACACCAATTTTTCTGAGAAATTTACTTTAACCATGCGAGAAACATATTAGAATAATAATATATCTCACACATGGCCGTCTGATCCCAAACTAGGCAGAGCCAGACTGCTGATAAACATACTTATATATATATTTTTAAATAGATAAATATTATAGATAAATTACACCCAGACACAGAACAAATGCAGCACGGCTCATCACACAATATTTGTCCTGGGTGGGCATCAAACCCACAACCTCCGGTTTAGCAGTCAAGGTCACTATCCACTAGACCAACAGGACCGTCAAACATGCTTCAGCAATAATGGATAGGCTCGAACCGGAGTGATTGTTAAGTGAATCATTCATTTCACTAAGTGGGTAAGGGTACAGGAGCTCAAATCCCTCCCCAACCCTTCCCCGTGACTATTATAATAATAATAATAGCTTCACACATCTCACACACAGCCGTCTGGTTCCAATCTAGACAGAGCCTGTACTATGGTAACCAGACTGCTGATAAACATACTTATATATTTCTAAATACATACATATCATAGATAAGTTAGGTGACTATTGAGATGTAGGTGTCCATACGGGCAGCAGTAGTAACTCGCCATCTGGTGACTCGGCAGCATTATCAGTACAAAACAAAGGGCAATTCTTAAAGACATTACATATGATAATATTGTGCATAGACTTTACCTGTTAAATCAAAACATATTTCTATCAGCGTAATCTTATCTACAGATAGCTAAATAACATACATACATGTATACGTCATTTAGGTAATGTAAACCTTATCTATCACTTCATTTCCATCCGAAACTTCACTCCCTGTTATTCTTTATCATCATTTTCCTGTCCTCATCCCCCTTTTATTTGGGCTTATTTCTTGGAAATATAGTCTTTTCGCAATGGACAAAGGAACTGGATAAATTGTTCAGTATTTGAAAGCAAATACATACATACATATTATATAATTTTATTATTTTTAATTTTTTTTTCTGCACGAATTATAAATGTATTTCAATTTATTGTATTTCAAATTTTTTTTTTTATTTAATAAAATTTAATAAATTGATGGGAAAAAGAAAATTGTTAACACTCAACTAGTGTGTAGTCTAAGTAAAACGAAGTTATTGGAGAAAAAAAAACAGCAACATGAAAAACAGTAAATGCCTTATGAGGCTTTTCAACACTTGGCAAACCTATGTCCAGAAACACAAGCGTGTAAACGAGGTGTTTGGCTTAGCTTGCGTGAGCTTGTGGTCGATCGGCGCTAGTGTCGGTTTTTTTAACACAGATCAAAGGTAGCTTGCGGCAAGCATTTGCGATGTATTTACATGTTGGCGCCTGCTTGTTTCCTTACTGCTCAATTTGATATTAGTTGAGCAGTCGGGTATCTCAATGTTCTACTGGTTGAGCAGTAGGGCTAGAGGATTTTTTTGGTTAGTTAAGTGCCGCCCTTTATATACCCTTCAATTGTCGGCAAGCGTCTAAACTATGCATTACACTAGTAAAATTTTCTGAGCTTCCTGCTTTCTCTTCCATCCCTTTTCATGAAATTACTCTCACAGATTGCAGGACAACATGAAAAAAGATTTACACATCAAAAAAACTTGGATATTGATTCTAATTCTGTTGTTCGAAAACTCTCTAAACTAAACTAAAAATCACAAAAAAATAGTTTAGTCTTGTCAAGTACTACGTTTTCAGAACACAAAACGTTTTTTTGACAGGACTTCACTAATTTTTAGTGATATTTTTATAGTTTAGAGAGTTTTCTAATAAAAGAATTGGCACCATCGATATGTATTTTGTTTTATGGTTGTTTTCATGTATTTACCTAATTCTTTCTCACCATTTTTCTCCATCAATTTTTTTAAAATATACTTTTAGCCCGTAGCTTTTCGCATTTTTACACTTTCTCGTCAGATTTAAATGCTGTATCAGGTACTTAATCCTCCCAGGATTAAGTGCAACTGCTTAAAGGCTTGTGAGCCCGTAATCACCAATCCTGCAGAGTTAACTTAAAAATGTTTAAAGTATACACTATTGCCACAAACATCCAAAATCTGCTAAGTAAATTTAATATTTTAGCATTTTAGATACATAAAAAATAACTCCATAATCAGTTTCTAAGATTGACTGATTTGCAAGGATAAGCATAAAAAAATAGTTCCTAGTATAGAAGTATCCATAGTGTGGTGAAGTTAAAACACGTCTGAACAGTGGGAGAGCCCTGCTTCGGTACAAATGGGCCGGCTCGACCGGGGTAATACCACGGCCCCAGAAAATCTGTGTTATACAATTAATTTACTGCTTTTCCTTGAGTGACTGTGGTTACCAGGTTCCAAACCGCTCCTCCTATTTCGGGGCGTCGGTGAGGCTCAAAAGGTGGTTGTGATTCTTGATTTGAAGATGTCCCATCTGCTTGTTTGCCTATGTCATAAAAAATACAGACTAATTAGCTATATAAACAAACTACGTATAAGGAAGATAAAACTTATGTCAACATAGCTCTGTTGACACGATTGCTATGTATATTCATAGTGGATGACCATCTTACACCATTTTTGCGAATTCAATGCCACACGGTGGGTACTTGTGACTTATAATTCAATGAATCATACTGCATTGTTCATACTCAATATGTAATATACATATACAATGTAAAAGTATATTATTTTGTAAACAATATGGTGATGTTTTCTCTTACACTGTGAACCTATTTATACCTGTTATTTTCTTGTTAAATCAATGAGGTTTGTTGACCTTTTTTCCTACCGACCATTTTATTATTATTACCCATAAAGTAGGCAAGGTTTCGTCTTCATAGGTTTCTCATGCAATAAAATGTTCAGTCAACAAAATAAAGAAGTTTCTACTAATTATTTTTTATCAAAGTCACTAGCTACGTCCAGCGGTATTAATCGCGGTTTATCAGAAACTAGCTCATCCCATGGAAACATTAAATTTTTCGATATAAAAAGTATCCTTTACTCCAAGGTGTCAGCTACCTCTACACAGTATCGTTTGAGTGTGAAGAAGTAACAAATATATATATTATTGAGTTTTTAGCACAACTGTTACTTAACTCAATAATAAAACAACACTATGGTTACGTAATAGATGATAAAAATCTTGGTCAACACCAAGACTGGGAAAACAGTGGCAGGATGTAGTCTTTGAAACGATAGACTGACATTCTCTTCCCCCATCCAGTGTCAAATTAATGTTTCGGTAAATAACAACTAACTAAACAATACAACTACGCAGGACAACAGCACTGCAGAGAGAAGGAAAACTTGACACAAACCCT